CTCATTTCATCATCCTGTTAAAGACCCAATTTCTGAACTGTCCTACCCGTGACATTGCCAGCGGGACCGGATCGCTGGTTCCGATTTTTCCCATGTTGGAAACTATAATAGTAGAACGATGGTGGCGCCCCCCTGTCAATGAGTTTGGTGGGACAGTTCAGTTTAGGCAGAGTAAATACAAATGAGTAGGTCATCTTTATAGAAACGCACCGAGCGCGGTTAGTATGTGAGCGCGCCAATACGTATGCGGCGCGCACGCACACACTGACAATATTCGGCGCAACCACGACTGGCTCCCCGCTAAATGACCTACTCATTTGTATTTACTCTGGTTTAGGTCATCTATAATATTTTTTTATCAGTAAAGTAACATTTTCATTGTCACTTTCAATGATTCTTACTGGCCTAATTTTCTGTGATCTATAAAGTTAATAGTTATTGGTCTACCGGTTAATTGAGTCAGTGCCTGAGATCTGGGAGCGGCAGGGGAGGGTGTTTTTGAGATGTCAAACGTCAGCGAGATTTCAGTGTCCCGATTGCGCTCAAAATTTTCATCTTCATCGCTCATGGACGACGAACGAAATTCAGCTGTTTGCACAAGTTTTGTATCGCAGTGTTGCTTTGACGGCTAGTTCAAACGAAAACGAAACGCAACTGCTTTGTGTAAAAGCTGAAAGAAAGCTACCATTTCTCAAACAAAAGTCAAACGCTTCACGAAGTTTTGCTGTGTTTTAGTGGAAACATAGGTGGAATGAAACTGGAGTGCGACTAGAGTTGAAACGCGAATGAATTGGAGACAAATTAGCGCAATCGGGACCCAGAGCCCCGATTACGGTAACTTTTATAACGTCTACAATCCAGACGCGTTTCTGATTCTGCGATACGATTGGTCAAAACAGCTGACGTACGCTGTTGAACGACCAATCGTATCGCAGAATCGAGAAGCGTGTCTGGATTGTTGACGTTAAAAAATACCGTAATCGGGGCTCTGATCTCCTTCAGATTCGTATGCTCTGTTACGTCATAATATGTCAATGTCACCCTTCCCGTGACATCATAAAGGTAGCAGGAAAGCGCTGGACGCAGGCCGCTACCAACTGGGCAACATGGAAAGCATTGGGGGAGGCCTATGTTCAGCAGTGGACGACCTATGGCTGAGATGATGATGATGATGATGATGACCCTCCCCGTGCCACTCTCATACCAGTGACTCAGTGAAGCGCTATATTAAGGCTGAGTTGCACCACCTAACTTTCACAGTAACCAACTGGGTGCAACCCAGCCTTATAGTTTCAAATTAAAATCGGACTATATTTAAAAGCCTTCTGGCTTTTAATTACGCCAAAGATAAAAAAATTCAAGGCAGTGTCATTCACAATTTTGTGATTAAAATATAGAAATCACAGACCATCAAATCGATCACACGATTACACGATATAACGTCATTAAAATATTCTGTCGTTTCGTAAAACACTCATTAAGTAAAGGAATAAATTGATTTAAAAGAAAGTTATTCTATCCTCACAACTCGTGACGAATTTAGCCTCCTGTCTTGTCGATATTTCACTATTTCAGCTTTCACTATCCTGTAAGAGAGAAAAATTGAATGAAATTAATTTGGGACACACATTATCCAACTAATATTATAAATGCGAAAGTTTGGATGTCTGGATGTTTGTTACTCTTTCACGCAAAAACTACTGAACGCATTTTGATGAAACGTTACAGTATTATTGTTTATAACCCAGAATAACATATAGACTATAATTTATGACGATCTGTGACAAACTAAATTTCACGCGGGTGAAGCCGCGGGCAAAAGCTAGTCTATATATATAAAAATGAAACCCGTTTCGCGTTGTCACGGCATCACGTGTGAACGGCTGAACCGATTTCGATAATTCTTTTTTTTAAATGTTTGTGGAAGTCCAAGGATGGTTCTTAAGGAAAAAAATATTAAGAAAATCTCATCGCGCAAAAAAAATGTATTAGAGCTATAGCTGGGATACCATCCGACAAATCGTGTAGACCCTTATTTATAGAGTTTGGTTTGTTACCATTACCGTCTTTGTATATTTTAGAAATATGTACTTTTGTCAAGAAACATTTTACGTTGTTCAAAAGAGTCTGCGATATAAATTTGCGAACCCGTAGAGACCCAGATAGACTTGTTCTGGAAGTCATACCTAGATCTGAGAAATATAACCGAAATTGTGTAGCAATGTGTGTTAGAATATACAACGTGTCCCAAAATTCAAGGATAAGCCGGCGCCGCAGGACGGACATAGTCATGACTACTTTAGGAAAAATAAGAAAAAAATCTATCTCAATTATTTTTTAAGTTACACAATAAATTATGAAATTCGTCGAAAATTGACACCCCTTATGATATTTTACCTTACCACGACCACAATTTTTCAAATACTTCTGTTTTTTTGTTTGTATCGGCAACTTAAGTAGTGCTGCTGTCCTCTCCAATTCTTAAAACCCTCAGAATCCTTGCAGTTTTTACACAAAAGTTAATCAAAATATGATATTTCCTTAAAATTTTGAACGATTTTTACTTTCACTCCACTTTGACTCGTCGTTTTGTAATAAAACAGTATGAACACTACTGCGGCAAGTTATTTATAAAGTTGCCGCAACTATCCAAGATTCCAAAATGGTATAATACTCTAAGAAAACTAGTCGCAATAAAGATATGCGTACCATTTTTACAAGCACTTCGCTTGTTAGTTAGTATGGGATAAATCTTGCAACTAAATTTAAAACCAGTTCTCCACAACCAATTGAGCTGAAATTTGGTATACTNGCGCGCCGCATACTAAACCAGAGTAAATATAAATGACCTACTCATTTGCATTTACTCTGGTTTAGGTCATCTATAATATTTTTTTATCAGTAAAGTGACATTTTCATTGTCACTTTCAATGATTCTTACTGGCCTAATTTTCTGTGATCTATCAAGTTAATAGTTATTGGTCTACCGCTTACTAAGTTAGTGCCTGAGGTATGGAAGCGGCACGGGAGGGTGTTTTGGTGACGTCAAATGTCAGCGAGACTTTAGAATTTCAGTGGGTCTAGACAAAGTGCAAATTTTAATCGCAAACCAGTCGAAAAGTGGTCGAAAAGCCCTTTTATTGTATGGGGTTTTGACGGATTCGATTTTCGATTCGATCAAAAAGTGCATTATGTTTAAGGGGGTACGGGAGGGTTTTTTTGAGATGTCAAACGTCAGCGAGATTTCAGTGCCCCATTGCGCTCAAAATTTTCATCTTCATCGCGCCTGGACGACGAACGAAAATCGGCTGTTTGCACAAGTTTTGTATCGCAGTGTCGCTTTGACAGCTAGTTCAAACGAAAACGAAACGCAACTGCTTTGTGTAAAAGCTGAAAGAAAGCTACTTTTTCTCAAACACAAGTCAAACTTATCACGAAGTTTTACTGTGTTTTAGTAGAAAAATAAGGTGGAATGAACATGGAGTGCGACTAGAGTTGAAACGAGAATGAATTGGAGACAAATTAGCGCATCGGGACCCAGATCTTCAGATTCGTATGCTCTGTCACGTCATAATATATCAATGTCACCCTTCCCGTGACATCATAAAGGTAGCAGGAAAGCGCTGGACGCAGGCCGCTACCAACCGGGCGACATAGAAAGCATTGGGGGAGGCCTATGTTCAGCAGTGGACGTCCTATGGCTGAGATGATGAAGATGATGATGACCCTTCCCGTGCCACTTCCATACCAGCACTGACTCAGTTCAACGCTATATTAAGGCTGAGTTGCACCACCTAACTTTCACAGTAACTATGACGATAACCGGTGTATTTAGTATGGAGCTTGACAGATTTTTGACGTTTGTCAAAGTTAAAGTAAGATGGTGCAACCCAGCCTTATAGTTTCAAATTAAAATCTGAATATATTTAAAAGCCTTCTGGCTTTTAATTACGCCAAAGATAAAAAAATTCAAGGCAGTGTAATTCACAATCTTGTGAATAAAATATAGAAATCACAGACCATCAAATCAATCACACGATTCACCGTGTATAACGTCATTATAATATTCTGTCGTTTCGTAAAACACTCATTAAGTTAAGGAATAAATTGATTTAAAAGAAAGTTATTCTATCCTCACAACTCGCGACGAATTTAGCCTCCTCTCTTGTCGATATTTCACTATTTCAGCTTTCACTATCCTGTAAGAGAAAAACATGAAATTATTGATTTGGCACACACATTATCCTACTAATATTATAAATGCGAAAGTTTGGATGTCTGGATGTTTGTTACTCTTTCACGCAAAAACTACTGAACGCATTTTGATGAAACGTTACAGTATTATTGTTTATATCCCAGAATAATATATAGACTATAATTTATGACGATCTGTGACAAACTAAATTTCACGCGGGTGAAGCCGCGGGCAAAAGCTAGTTTTAAATAAAACAGACATTGAAACATACGAGTGTTCAAAAGGCCTCGTTTTGGAATTCGCAACGAATTGAACTAGAAATATGTAGGAGTTTGATAGTATCGAGTTTCTTTCGTTGGAAATTGTGATACTTAATTACTTTTCCAAATAAAATAAAATACACATAAGAACGATTAAGCATGCTATACTCGAAGTTTCTTCTTCGTGATTGAATCAGAAACCAGGAGATCGGTAGGAGAACCAAAGTATCCAACATATCCCTCAATACTATCATATTTTAGTGCCAGCGGATTACTGCATTACTATGCTTCACGCTGACATAGCCCGACGGATTAGCAAGCTAAAGTGGCAATGGGCAGGGCACATAGTACGCAGAACTGAGGCAGCAAGGTTCTGGAGTGGAGGCCGCGTATCGCTGGACGCAGGCCGCTACCAACCGGGCAGCATAGAAAGCATTGGGGGAGGCCTATGTTCAGCAGTGGTCGTCCTATGGCTGAGATGATGATGATGATGATGATATGCTTCAGCCACACCAACGCGTGCAGATAACTGGTTCCTGCAAACTGGATCGCCGTGGGAAGGAGTCTTTACCTGAGCAGTAGTAGCAACGCGAGCGCGTCACAGGCGATGAGCATGTAGAACACGCGCGACCAGTCGCCTGTTGATGACACCACTCCCGCTAGCATTGGTCCCAGCGCCGCGCCTGCCCCAAAACAATGCACAGTCAAACATATTTTAATTTATGTATATCTTTAAAAATACGAATTACTTCAAGCGGGCTAGGATTAGAGATGGGTTATACTAGGTAAATTTGATACTAGGTGCACCTATTCCTAGTATTTATTAATACTTGGTCCAAATACCTATTCCACCTAGTACGTAGTAATTTAGCATACTTGACGCGACTAGTGCGGACTAATCCACGTAATAATATTACGTGGATTAGTCCGCACTAGTCGCGTCAAGTATGACTTTAAAATACAATTTTCTTTGAAAAGATACAACCGTAGTATGAATAATGCAATTTGAAATTGAATAATAATGTTTTTACTGGCTGTTGATTGATTGATATCCTCCCTTCATACTTCAACAGGCTTAGTTGGCGTATTTAAAAATATCAATTTCATAAAAATATAAATGGTTTGACTACGTTTGTGTGCGTTTGCTTCGTCGCGCTCAAATTTGTTTGGTCAGACAGAGACGGAGTGAATCTCTACGTTCGCACATAAGCCTAGCGAGAAATACTAGGTGCGCGTAATACACGACTACGGATTACGCAATAATAACCTCTATTACTTTGATGGTAGGGTCGGAAATCGTGTAATTTATAAAATACTAGGTGGATCAAGTATTTAAAAAATTGGAATAGGTGCCGCCTAGTACTGTAAAATACCTAGTGTGTGGATCTGTTCTAGTAAATACGTCTCATCTTTAGCTAGGATGCGCGCCGTGATAATACTCTCATCGATAAAAAATGGTCTACTAGACAACGTAATTTTTACTTTAATATTGATTGATATTAAATCAACTCACCGACACTCCCAGTCCCGTCAATAATGGCAGTGACGGTAGCTAAAGCTTGGGCATTACCAGCCAGGCAACTGTGGGTACCTGAAGAAAAAAGTTCAATTCATTTATTTACATGCGAATACCTACATACAATGTACAACATATTTGCGTTATGTCAAACGCATAAAATATGGCTAGTTTCAAACTACATACCACTGAGCAAACTCGGCTAGCTCAGTGGTTACAGTACAATTAACACAAACTACTGACCTAGTTCAGCGCTAACTGCTGTGGTAATTAGTGCGTAGGGCCCGTTGACGAGCGCACCCCGTACCACTAGAAGCAACCCTAGTAAGTTCATAGTACAAACCACTGAGCAACCCTAGTTAGTTCATATAACAAACCACTGAGCAACCCTAGTTAGTTCATATTACAAACCACTGAGCAACCCTAGTTAGTTCATATTACAAACCACTGAGCAACCCTAGTTAGTTCATATTACAAACCACTGAGCAACCCTAGTTAGCTCAGTGGTATACACTACACGAGCCACTCATCTAGCTCGGCGGTAACTTCTGTGGTGATGCCGCCTACTACGAGCGCTACTTTGGGAGCTTACGAGCTACACAAGACGCTCACCTAGCAGTGACATTAGACGAGCCATTCAGCTCACTATCTTAAAGTACAACCTACGTAAGTTTGCTTGCTAGGGTTGCTTAGTGGTTCATAGCACAAACCACTGAGCAACCCTAGTTAGCTCAGTGATTGTTAAATGTTTGTCTCGAAGCGCTGGTAGGGCAAAAAAGAATGAGACATGTATAGGCTCCTTAAGAGCATTTGACGATTTGCAAGAACTAATTTAATTAGTCTAAACAAATAAAGAATATTTTGATTTGATTTGATTTGTATCCCCCACCAATTTTTAGTCGAGGGAAGCGCGGGGTGCGGGGAGTGTGATCCGAGCAATCCGTAAGGCATTATTGAAGTGTGCGTGTGGATTTAGCGTGTACCGATAACACTCAAATATTAGCGGAAGAATGGTGGGGCGCGTCATCGTGGATGAAAAGATCATAAAGTACAAACTACACAGCTTGCTAGGGTTGCTCAGTGGTATACACTATACAAGATACTCACCTAGCTCGGCGCTAACTGCTGTGGTGATGAGCGCGTAGGGCCCGTTGACTAAGGCGCCCCCTACGATTAAAAGCGCCACGTTGGTCGCGTACGACGTAGCGCCCCAGCGCTGGTACACCAGTAGCTATAGAAAAATAGTTTAGTCATACTAAAAATTTTATTTTATTTATTTATCTTTATTAAAGAAACATACAGCCTTGTTTGACACATGCAGCTTAATATTTATTACATTTACAATTAAACTTTTAGGTGCTTTATAGCTTCCCAGCTCTCAGGTCACCAACTATCTAGGGTTCCACTTACAAACTATCATAGATCTCACCAACTCACTATCATGGATCCCCTCACCTCACTATCAAACATCACAAAAGATCCTAACAGTGCACTACGTTAAGGCGTTGCCCTGTATAAGATGATGACGATGGCCATGGGATTCCCCACCCATCAACTGACTAACATGAGCCCCCTCTCACCAACTATCATGGGTCCACTCAGCAACTGGATTACCACTCACCAACTGGATTACCACTCACCAACTGAATATCATGGATGTTCACTCACCAACTGACTATCATGGGTGTCCGTCCACTCACCAACTGAATATCATGAATCCCCACTCACCAACTATCTATCACTGGTACCAACTGAGTATCTTGGGTCTGGGGGACCCGCACTAACTATCATAGATCTCCACTCAACAACTCACTATCATGGGTCCCCACTTACCAACTATCATGGGTCCCCACTTACCAACTATCATGGGTCCCCACTTACCAACTATCATGGGTCCCCTCCCCTCTCACCAACTGACTATCACAGATCCTTACTCACCAACTATCTCGGATCCCCCCTAACTCACTATCATGGGTCCCTTCTTAAACTGACTATCATGGGTCCCCCTCTCACTAAATATCTCGGAATCCCCCCCCCCCTCACTTACATAAATCTCTACTTACTAACTGACGATCATGCAACCCCATTAACTATCATGGATCCCCACTCACTAGCATAGACTCCCAAGTCACCGTATCTCTTTCAGTACCACCGTTTAGACACTCACTGCAGGAGTACACAGCACGTAGAACCCCGCACACACAGTGTTAGCTAACAGCCCAGCCGTGATGGCATGTCTATCTATGATGATGATGGTGACGATGATAGTGATAATATACTCACCGCGGGCGCGCACAGCACGTAGAACCCCGCGCACACAGTGGCAGGGCTGCGGCTGCGGTCGGCCAGCAGCCCGGCCGCGATGGCGCCCACGATGCCGCCGACATCGAACACCGTGCTTAGGTCCGCTGACTGCTTGGGGGTTAGATTGTGGGTGTGGCTGTCTACTCGTGCTGTGATGATCATTGATCCTTACTCACCAACTGACTATCTTGGGTCTACTTAGCAACTCATAGTGAATAGTTTGCCCACTCAGCAACTCACTATCATGAATCTGAACTCGCTAACTATCATGAGTCCTCATCAGCTGACTATCATGGGTCCCCCTCTCACTAAATATCTCGGGTCCCGCTCACTAAATATCATAAACCTCTACTTACCAACTATCATGGATCCCCACTCATTAACTATCATAGACTTTCACTCACCTCACTATCATGGGTCACTCACTGTCATTTATCCCCACTCACCATCTCACTATCATAGATCCCTACGTAAGTAGGAGAGTGATTAATGATAGTGAGTTGGTAATTAATAACTCACAATCATTAATGACTCAGTGGTGACATCAGTGTCAGTATCGGCCGTTGTCGGCCGTTTGGTGTAGTGGTTCAGAACGGACTACTATGCCGAGAGGTCCCGGGTTCGATTCCCGGCCGGGCAGAAATTGAAATGATGAATTTTAATTTCTGTGACGGGTCTGGGTGTAAATATGTATAATATGTATGTATTTAATAAAAAAAAAAAAAAAGTATATAAGTAGTATATCCGTTAAGCTAGCACCCATAACACAAGCATTGAGTTGCTTACTTTGGGGCTAGCTGGCGCTGTGTGAAATTGTCGAAAGATTTATTATATTATTATTATTATTAGTATCACCGTTTAGACACTCACCGCGGGCGCGCACAGCACGTAGAACGCCGCGCACACAGTGGCAGGGCTGCGGCTGCGGTCGGCCAGCAGCCCGGCTGTGATGGCGCCCACGATGCCGCCGACATCGAACACCGTGCTTAGGTCCGCTGACTGCTTGGGGGTTAGGTGCGCTGCGGATATAAATATTATAGGTTTTAGGTCCAGCATAACTTAGTCAATGCCTGAGGGAGAAGCCACACGGTACGGTGCGGTCACGGAGCGGTGTCGCTGCGGCGTCCTGCATATAAAAATCAATGATATGCCAGACGGTGTGTTCCGGCGCCGCACCGCACTTCGATTGAGCGAGACGGCGCGCGGCGTCGCAAACCATATTTGTACTATTAAAGGCCGGTCGATCTATTCTCATAAATAAAACACTGAATACTCGACTTTCACATTATATTGCCTTATTTTAGATACAATTCATCACTTAGAGTTAGCACAAAAGCGCGTCCCTCTATTCTGACGTTTTATCCTAGTGTGACATTGACGTATTGTCAATGTCACAATGACAGCATCTCATTGGCCACAACAATACCGTTATTTTAACGTTTTAGATTTTTCATAATTAACAATACCTACAGTGATGCGGCAAAATTCGAACCACAAACATGAAACACGAAAATAAGGCTCAATGCAAACGCTTTATTCTAAACTTAATTGTCAATTTTCAATCAACTACAACTTTTGAAATTGAAAATAGACAGCCAAATATTGCGTTAGCGAAATATGATTTGTGACTTCAGGAATTTATATTTCCATACGGAATTACGTTTTGACAGCAAATAAACAATACGTCAATAGATTAGTAGTTTCAAATATTTTAATAACAATACCAAAGAATACTCACTGCTAGACTTAATATACATAGGCAGCCAATACAAGAACGTATAGCTGACGAGCTTCGCGAAGAAGAGAGAGAGAGAGAATTCCATCACGCCCGGTATGGATAGCGCGCGCGAGAGTGAGACGGCGCTACTGCCGTGCGAGTGGGACGGACGACGAGAGAGCAGCGCTGTGCTTTCTGTGGCGTCTTCTGATGAGTACTGAAATATAATTAATTATTATTAAAAGGGTGTTACTATCTATAATATGTATGTATTAAAAAATATATTAGTAGTATATCCGTTAAGCTAGCACCCATAACACAAGCATTAAGTTGCTTACTTTGGGGCTAGCTGGCGCTGTGTGAAATTGTCCAAAGATTTATTTATTTATTTATTATTTATAATTTAAAATATCTGTTTGTGGTCTGTGTTTTTTAAGTTTTTATGTTTAAAAACTCTTCAGGTTGGTATGACATGCCGTGTATAATGTCTAACGCCCGTATTCACAAACATTACTATGAGGTCTCACAGCGCGTGGACGCACAGGGTGACATATGAAACAATCACACGAGCTTTATTCAACGCTGTGCGTGCGATTTTCTGCTTCACTTAAGCAAGCATTGTTTGTGAAAACTGACGTAAGACATTTTTGAATGACAGCTGAGTGTGTATGTAAAATCAGTATGAATGAGATTGACCAAGTGAGTGAGTTACTGGCCAAGTGCCCGTGAAAATAGATTTACGTCCGTATTCACAAACATTACTACGAGGCCGCACAGTGCGCGTGGACGCACAGCGTGACACATTAACCAATCACAGAGCTCTATTCAACGCTGTGCGTTAGATTAAAATAGTAAGACACGGGTCTTAACGCGACGTTTATTAATGAGTTACATTATGTACTCACGGCTTATCCTCTCCACTGATCGGCATTATCACACTAGGATAGTTCGAGAAGCGATTGAAATTAAAAAACATAAAAATTTCAATCGGGAGGACGGATTTAAATTGTCACCAGTGTGGAATCCGGTGTTTAATTGAAATGGAACGCGGAAGTTTAAAAGCTGTGCGTTCGATTTGCTGCTTCACTTAAGCAAGTATCGTTTGTGAATACGGGCGAAAGTGTGGTGAAACAAGATTGGGAGCATGGTCAATTGAGAAAGTCCCAAGTGAGTGAATGAATTAGTGATTGAGTGAGTGAGTGAGTGAACTGGTGACTCACCGGTGGGTTGTTGGCCGAGTGCCTGTTAGGCCGGAGGCTCGCCGTCTGCAACCAACACATGCTGTTAGTCAGGTGCGGGAGCAATACATGCAAGTGCTGTCCGATAGCGCATAAAGTTAAAAGTTCCTTTCATTAAGTTACTCTATGTATATTAGTCTGGTCCGTGAGCACGTAGAATTTTGTCCAATGACCCCAAGCTACCCATCCTTATCGTTCGCGCGTAATTATGTTGCTGTCGCGCTCGCACACTCACTGCGGGCGCCCGTCGCACCGCACAGTCGCGACAGTAATATAATTACGCGCGAGCTATAAGGATGGGTAGCTTGGGGTCATTGGACGAAATTCTACGTGCTCACAGACCGGGCTTTAGTTAGTTAATCATTAATTATATCCAGATGCGCATCTTCTTACCACAAAACAATGTGGGGTTTATTACAAAAAGTTAAATAGACGTTAAACACTAGTTTAAATTAGCATTTAGTATGGAAATGGGACTTTAAACCCGTGTTTAACGTCGGTTTAAGTTTTTTGTAATAACATCAGTATTTTGAAAATAAATTCTTGAGCACATTATGTTATTGTTACATAAGTTACTACTATTGTCGATGTTATTAGAAAATTTTCATGCGTTTTGAATTGAGTCTAAGGTTTGAGATTAGTAAAAGAAATTGTTAATATTGTGGCATAACATATTTTATCGTACGTGCTATAATCATTAGATCAAATAATAAATGTATAGTACCTCAAAACCAACCGAATTGAGAACCTCTTCCTTTTGTTGAAGTCGGTTAAAGGTTTAATTTAGAAACTCCAACCGATGTCATAATTGCTACCGACAATAATGAGTACTTACCTGATCACCGACTATCACTTGAGCGGGCTCCGGGTCTTCTTCGTCGTCGGACCGGGACTGTCTAGACGGCTGTAAAAGAAATCAAATTCAAAGGAGANTTTTCAGCCCGATCCGTCCAGTGATTTGGGCTGTGCGTTGATAGATCACTATGTCAGTCAGTCAGTCACCTTTGAGTTATAGAAAATAAACTTTGTTGAGTGCCATACTGAGGAAATTGGATTAAACGATCTTGATACTGTTATTTTTTATTTTCATAACTTTAATATTAATGAACATGAAGTACGAATATACGAGTGTATTGTTTTAAACTTTCATGGTCACTAACATAATTATTATTACTGACGGGATTGCTACCATGTACCTTAGTTTTGAGTTTCCGATATTTCGGCACTGTCGCAACGGAGTAACTGAAGAAACTTGCTGTGAGATGTTATGGGCAGACATTATTGGTCTACCCTCTTTCGCAGTCTATTATTACGATTGCCATTACCCGCAAGTTTCTTCAGGTACTCCGTGACCATGGCGCTTGCAACAGTGCCGAAATATCGGAAACTCAAAACTAAGGTATACATGGTAGCAATCCCGTCAGTAATAAATAATANATAATACTCTCATCGATAAAAAAGGTCTACTAGACAACGTAATTTTTACTTTAATATTGATTGATATTAAATCAACTCACCGACACTCCCAGTCCCGTCAATAATGGCAGTGACGGTAGCTAAAGCTTGGGCATTACCAGCCAGGCAACTGTGGGTACCTGAAGAAAAAAGTTCAATTCATTTATTTACATGCGAATACATACATACAATGTACAACATACGAGTATTTGCGTTACGTCAAACGCATAAAATATGGCTAGTTTCAAACTACATACCACTGAGCAAACTCAGCTAGCTCAGTGGTTACAGTACAATTAACACAAACTACTGACCTAGTTCAGCGCTAACTGCTGTGGTAATTAGTGCGTAGGGCCCGTTGACGAGCGCACCCCGTACCACTAGAAGCAACCCTAGTAAGTTCATAGTACAAACCACTGAGCAACCCTAGTTAGTTCATATAACAAACCACTGAGCAACCCTAGTTAGTTCATATTACAAACCACTGAGCAACCCTAGTTAGTTCATATTACAAACCACTGAGCAACCCTAGTTAGTTCATATTACAAACCACTGAGCAACCCTAGTTAGTTCATATTAGAAACCACTGAGCAACCCTAATTGTATCATATTACAAACCACTGCGCAACCCTAGTTATATACACTACTCAGTGGTATACACTACACGAGCCACTCACCTAGCTCGGCGGTAACTTCTGTGGTGTGTAACGTTATACGTCACATAATTACATTTATTGATTTTTGTACAAATAAAGTATAGTTAAATTAACGTAATAATGAACAAAAATAACTAAAACTATCAAATACATAAAACAACAAAAAACTGTAAACAAGATTTTATTCTTATCACTAAATAAATAACATTTACAAAACAAATAATTACATAAATCACTTAAAACTAGCTTAAAATAAAATAGATCAATATTACAGTGACCTTGCTAATGGTTCGTTTATCGGTCGCGCGGGACCCTAAGCAGCTTTCTCTTCAATCCTTTGCGTCTGGGCATTGGTCAAAAACATCGTATGATTTTAATGGGCGGCGCCTAAAGCCGTTTGACCTTTAAAAATCGTCGGCCAGGGCACGTCTCCCCGGCTTCATTTCGACAAACCAACTTGAAAAGTACGGCCGCGTACCTGCCTATCGCCGCCGCGCCGATTCTATTTCAAATAATTTATAGTATGTAGTGCAAATGCACTAAATACAAACTTATAAAGTACAATAAAATTAGTAGTCGTTTCATAAATAAGTACGATAAAACTGTGTAGTGAATACATCCCCGATAGGGTAAGTGATGAACAAGTATTTCTTCTTTCGCTTTAGTTTTAAGCAGATAATGTAACTACAAGTTGCGATTAGTTAGTGCCTATCTATCCAGCTTTGTTGAAAACCTAATTATGTCATAAATTTCCCTTAGCAGAGATTAGATAGTAATTATTCGCTATTGGCGTAATTATTCATACAAATTGTTAATTTAAAGCATTTGGCGTACCTAATAATAAATCATAATATTATTTACTTCATTTTAATTATGCTGTGTTTGTAAACTCCGATCTGATTGCATTCATCGCCACTTCGCCTGCTATCCTACTTACTTAGGCTCGACTTTCTTGGCTTGGTTTGACGATGGTTGCAGTCTCCGGATGTTGAGACCGGAAGTGGCTTAAGCTGGAATGTTCGTTCCCAGGGATCGAATTTGGGGACTAACGCGGAGGCAAACGCGTACCATCTGCGGCTCAAGATCCAAGGCGCCTCCAGCTGACAGCGACTACGTCCAGCACCTACGGCCACCATCTACCTTCGGCCGCCCTCGCCAGGGAAGTCACGGACCGCGAAAGCATACCCACAGTCGGGCATCCGAACCCCGCCCTCATATTTTTGTAAAAGTAATAAACCGTAATTTTATCTGTGTACGCTAGTGTTCATTATTTATTAATTTCCCACTACGCGACAGGTGATGCCGCCTACTACGAGCGCTACTTTGGGAGCTTACGAGCTACACAAGACACTCACCTAGCAGTGACATCAGACGAGCCATTCAGCTCACTAGCTTAAAGTGCAAACTACACAAGCTTGCTTGCTCAGTGGTTAATAGTACAAATCACTGAGCAACCCTAGTTAGCTCAGTGATTTGTACCCCCCACCAATGTTTAGTCTCAGTCGCGCGGGGTGCGGAAAGTTTGATCCGAGCAATCCGAGCGGCATTATTGTAGTACTCATGGATGACAGCGTGTACCGATAACACTCAAATATTAGCGGAAGAATGGTTGGGCCCGTCTTCGTGGATGAAACGATCATAAAGTACAAACTACACAGCTTGCTTACTAGGGTTGCTCAGTGGTTCATAGTACAAACCACGACGAGCGGCTGCAGTGAGTATGCGAGCGCGACAGCAATATAATTACGTGCGAGTGATAAAGATGTGTAGCTTGGGGTCCTTGGACGAAATTCTATCGGCTCGGCGACCGGACTTTATACACTACACGAGCCACTCACCTAGTTCGGCGCTGACTGCAGTGGTAATGAGCGCATAGGGCCCGTTGACTAAGGCGCCACCTACTATTAGGAGCGCCACGTTGGTTCCGTACGATGTGGCGCCCCATCGCTGGTACACCAGTAGCTGTGAAAAAATAGTTTAGTCATACTAAAAATATTTATTACATTTACAATTAAACTTTTAGGTGCTTTATAGCTTCCCAGCTCTCAGGTCACCAACTATCTAGGGTCCCACTTACAAACTATCATAGATCTCACCAACTTACTATCATGGATCTCACCTACTCACTACCTCACTATCAAACATCACAAAAGATCCTAACAGTACCTACACTAAGTTAAGGCGTTGCCCTGTATAAGATGATGATAACGATGGCCACTGTTCACGAACTTACTACCATGCATCCCCTGCGGGGAGTCAACTGACTATCATGGGTTCCCACTTACCAATTATTTATGGGTGCCCACTCACCAACCACTATCATGGGTTCCACTCACCAACTAACTATCATGGATCCCAACTCACGAACTATCACTGGGCCCACCTCACTATCATGTTTCGCGACTCAGCAACTGACTATCATGGGTCTCCACCAACTCACTATCACGGATTCCCACTCACCAACTATCACTGGCCCCCACTTACTAACTCACTATCATGGATCCCCACAAACCAACTCACCACCATTAATCACTCACTATCATAGACTCCCAACTCGCCGGGTCTCTGTCAGTATCACTGTTTAGACACTCACCGCAGGAGTCTTCTTCTTCTTCTACCCCGCACACACAGTGTTAGCAAACAGTCCAGCCGCGATGGCGTGTCTATCAATGATGATGATGGTGACGATGATAATGATGATAACACTCACCGCAGGAGCGCACAGCACGTAGAACGCCGCGCACACAGTGGCAGGGCTGCGGCTGCGGTCGGCCAGCAGCCCGGCCGCGATGGCGCCCACGATGCCGCCGATGTCAAACACTGTGCTTAGATCGGCTGACTGCTTGGGAGGTAGCATTGCGGATGTGGCTGCCTACTCGTGCTATGATCCCTACTCACCAACTGACTATCATGGGTCCACTTAGCAACTTACTATCATAGGTCCACTTAGGAACTGACTATCATGGATCCCCACTCTCTAACTCACTATCATAGACCCCCACACATCAACTCACTATCATAGGTCCCCTCACAAACTGGCTATCATAGATTCCCACTCACCAACTAACTATCTCGGATCCCCTCTAACTCACTATCATGGGTCCCCACTTACCAGCTATCATGGTTCCCCCTCTCACAAACTGGCTATCATAGATTCCCACTCACCAACTAACTATCTCGGATCCCCTCTAACTCACTATCATGGGTCCCCACTTACCAGCTATCATGGTTCCCCCTCTCACAAACTGGCTATCATAGATTCCCACTCACCAACTAACTATCTCGGATCCCCCCTAACTCACTATCATGGGTCTCCTCTCACCAACTGACTATCATGGATACCCACTCACCAACTATCTCGGGTGCTCATGATACTAATGATAGTTTCTTGTTATCCACAACGAAGAAACTATTGGCCTGCATCTCACCTGACAGAAAGTGATGATCAGGCCGAAGGGTGAAGCGGGCTTCACCCAGAATCCTCACCACAAAGGGACTGGCTATATTGCCTCCTTTAACTGAGTAATACACTTACCGCGGGCGCGCACAGCACGTAAAAAGCAGCGCACACAGTAGCAGGGCTGCGGCTGCGGTCGGCCAGAAGGCCAGCCGCGATGGCGCCCACGATGCCGCCCACATCAAACACTGTGCTTAGGTCGGCTGACTGCTTGGGAGTTAGGTGCGCTGTGGAGAGGCAGTTAAAGTGTTAACAATCCGTCAAAGTTGTTATGATTATGGATGTTATGTTTATAATAGACTACGAACCGTCTCATTCATTGAATGAGTAGCTAAAAAAATTTAGCATTGTAAAACCAGTCCCAATGAAATCGCCGTATACAGTGTGTTTGGGATAGGGCTTCACTTCATCACAACATCGCCTTAAATTATCGCTAGCCCTATCCCAAACACACTGTATAACATACGTCTTTTCGTTACACTGTGTACCTGCCATTCGATAGTCAACTCTAACCTCATACACATAAGCATCAATGGATCTTAGAGACCGGTTGCTAATTCGCGACTAATGTATGGAAACTGTGCCAGATGCATAATAACGCGGCGCTGTCATTGGTTGGCTTTACAATCGCGTTGCTATTGTACAATGGAGAATTTTAACATTTTTTTCTATTAATGAAACTTGAGAATTTTAATATAAGTAAAACTAATCCCATCAAAAACAATACTTGTCAAAAAAACCAAGTCTCGCAACTCAGTTGTTCTACGGTAAAAAGTTGTGAGATCCATGTAATACCAAGTCCAGGCCAGGAAATCTTTAACGTTTTACATAAATTATTGACTTGGCCATCGCACTAAATAATCTGGGGGCACGGCAGTGCCCCCACCAAGTCGAGCAAAAAAGCGGCACGGCCGTACCATCCTTTTCTCGAAGCAATTCAGGCCATTTTCGACCGCCTGTAACTTCGTTGTGGATAAAACTAGAAGGCTGAATTTTCATTAGCTATGCAGGCATTGTAAAGACACGGTATATTTAAAATTTCATTCAATTTGAACCAGTAGTTTAAGAATTATAACGGGTCAAAGTTACTTAATTTTGTCACTCACTGACTCACTCACTGACTCACTCACTGACTCACCGATCATCAAAACTCTAAGGCACTTCTAGCAGACCTAGAAGCTTCAAATTTGGAATATAAGTAGTGTTTGGTGTATGAATCAAGGAAAAACTAAAATATTTGGGGGCACGGTAGTGCAACCGCCAAGTCGAGTAAAATTTTTAAATTTCGGTCCAGTTTTCTAGATACATAACTGCTGTCTACAAAATACAAAAAGAAATGAGATCCCATCAAAAACAATACTTGTCAAAAAAACCAAGTCTCGCAACTCAGTTGTTCTACGGTAAAAAGTTGTGAGATCCATGTAATACCAAGTCCAGGCCAGGAAATCTTTAACGTTTTACATAAATATATTGACTTGGCCATCGCATGAAAACACGTGTAAGATAATAATTGTGAAACAATCATGAAAATATCTCTACAAATAAAGAAGTTACAGGACCCTAAAGTTGCGGATAACAAATATTTCGCGCCATTAATCGGTGACGTCACGGCACTCATTCGGAGTACAAACAGTGAATCACCCCTACTCTAGTGCTGTTGACAGATCCGACTTTTAAAAATCTAGTAGTTTTTAATTTTTGTAAAAGCACGACGCACAGCTCGTGAGATACAAAATTGATGAAAATTCATGTTTTGACAGCTCAAAAAAATTGTAATACATAGATATTAATGTCAAATACTCTAATATCAAAGCATACTCACTGCTAGACTTAATATACATAGGCAGCCAATACAAGAACGTATAGCTGACGAGCTTCGCGAAGAAGAGAGAGAGAGAGAATTCCATCACGCCCGGTATGGATAGCGCGCGCGAGAGCGAGACGGCGCTACTGCCGTGCGAGTGGGACGGACGACGAGAGAGCAGCGCTGTGCTTTCTGTAGCGTCTTCTGATGAGTACTGAAAATAAATAAAAACAAGACTTTTCTTCTGATTTGTATAATGTGGAGACATAGGCTACTCTAGCTTAGAGATGGGTTATACTAGGTAAATTTGATACTAGGTGCACCTATTCCTAGTATTTATTAATACTCGATCCAAATACCTATTCCACCTAGTACGTAGTACTTTAGCATACTTGACGCGACTAGTGCGGACTAATCCACGTACCTAATATAACTTTAAAATACATTTTTTTTAAAAGATACAACCGTAGTATGAATAATGCAATTTGAAATTGAATAATAATAATTCCTCCCTTCATACTTCAACAGGCTTAGAACTGTCAACTTAAAAGTTGGCGTATTTAAAAGATATCAATTTCATAAAAATATTAACATATTTTTTCTTATTTTCATGAATATGGTTTGACTACGTTTGTGTGCGTTTGCTTCGTCGCGCTCAAATTTGTTTGGTCAGACAGAGACGGAGTGAATCTCTACGTTCGCACATAAGCTCAGCGAGAAATACTAGGTGCGCGTAATACACGACTACGGATTACGCACTAATAACCTCTATTACTTTGACGGTAGGGTCGGAAATCGTGTAATTTATAAAATACTTGGTGGATCAAGTATTTAAAAAATTGGAATAGGTGCCGCCTAGTACTATAAAATACCTAGTGTGTGGATCTGTTCTAGTAAATACGTCTCATCTCTACTCTAGCTAGAGCATTTTCTCGAGCATTTCTATGTAATGTAACGTTAGGATAGCGCGCGCGAGAGCGAGACGGCACTACTGCCGTGCGAGTGGGACGGACGGCGAGAGAGCAGCGCTGTGCTTTCTGTAGCGTCTTCTGATGAGTACTGAAATATAATTTAAAATATCTGTTTGTATAGGTCTGTGTTTTTTAAGTTTTTATGTTTAAAAAAACTTTTCAGGTTGGTATGACATGACAGCCGTGCAGTGACGGCAGAGTAGAATACATTTGTCACCAACCCCTACTCTTCCCGCGAGAGACTTAGGGACTACACATCAAACAGAGAACGGGCAGCAGCGCTCTCTGAAAAACATCATCTTTTAAACTGCGATCTCCAACCCGCCTGCCAAGCGTGGGGATTATGGCAAAACCCTCCACTATAGAGGCTCATAGTCCAGCAGTAGACTGTAAAGGGCTGTTGATAATGACATGCCCTGTATAATGTCTAAGACATTTTTGAATGACAGCTGAGTGAATGTATGTAATACCAGAATGAATGAGAACGACCAAGTGAGTGAGTTACTGGCCAAGTAGCCGTGAAAGTAGATTAACGTCCGTATTCACAAACATTACTATGAGGTGTCACAGAGCGCGTGGACGCACAGGGTGCCATATGAACCAATCACAGAGCTCTATTCAACGCTGTGCGTTCGATTTGCTGCTTCACTTAAGCAAGTATCGTTCGTGAAAACTGACGTAAGACATTTTTGAATGACAGCTGAGTGTGTATGTAAAATCAGTATGAATGAGATTGACCAAGTGAGTGAGTTACTGGCCAAGTAGCCGTGAAAATAGATTTACCTCTGTATTCACAAACATTACTATGAGGCCGCACAGTGCGCGTGGACGCACAGCGTGACACATTAACCAATCACAGAGCTCTATTCAACGCTGTGCGTTCGATTTGCTGCTTCACTTAAGCAAGTATCGTTTGTGAATACGGGCGTAAGTGTGGTGAAACAAGATTGGGAGCATGGTAAAAAATTGAGAAAGTCCCAAGTGAGTGAATGAATTAGTGAATGAGTGAGTGAGTGAACTGGTGACTCACCGGTGGGTTGTTGGCCGAGTGCCTGTTAGGCCGGAGGCTCGCCGTCTGCAACCAACACATGCTGTTAGTGAGGTGCGGGAGCAATACATGCAAGTGCAGTTCCTTAATGAATAGTTATTAGATCCTTTAGTTAAGTTACCTAAAGTTAGTTAATTATTCTTCGACAACAAACCTACACAGTGTCAGCCCAAAACTCCACCACAAGAGTGGCGTTGTCAGTGCAGTTGCTTGGGCATGCAGTTAATTATTAATCATCGATTAATTGTATCCAGATGCGCATCTTCTTACAACAAAACTATGTGGGGTTTATTACAAAAAGTTAAATAGACGTTAAACACTAGTTTAAATTAGCATTTAGTATGGAAATGGGACTTTAAACCCGTGTTTAACGTCGGTTTAAGTTTTTTGTAATAACATCAGTATTTTGAAAATAAATTCTTGAGCACATTACGTTATTGTTCCATTTTAAACTACTATTAATGTTTTTAGAAAATTTTTATGCGTTTTGAATTGAGTCTAAGGTTTAAGATTAGTTAAAGAAATTGTTAATTTTGGGGCATAACATATTTTATCGTACGTGCTAATAAATGTATAGTACCTCAAAACCAACCGAATTGAGAACCTCTTCCTTTTGTTGAAGTCGGTTAAAGGTTAAATTTAGAAACTCCAACCGATGTTATAATTGCTACCGACAATAATGAGTACTCACCTGATCACCGACTATCACTTGAGCGGGCTCTGGCTCTTCTTCGTCGTCGGAACGGGACTGTCTAGACGGCTGTAATAGTAATCAAATGTTAATGTTATTTAAGGCTCATTATCATGGGTCAAGGGATGGAGGAGGCTTTTACCCAAGTGAGGCCACAAACAAGAGATACAGATTAATTGAATGAAAATGTAAAAATGTGGAATACAAAGCTATAATAATAAAAAAAAAAATCATGGGTCCCGCTCTCACCAAATCACTTTTATATTTTCCCACTCACAAACTCACTATCATACATCCTTACTCACCACCAACTCACTATCATAGAACCCCACTCACTACCCACTGATCATCATAGATCCCCAACGAATTAACTCACTAATAGTGAGATAATCATACATCTTCAATCATCAGTTTAACGACAACTCACTATCATAAATCCTGACTCAACAACACAGATCCCCACTTATCATCATAGACCACGGACCACAGCTGACTATCTTGGACCCCCTCTCCTAACTATCGTAGATCCCCACTATCATAGCTCCCCATTATTAACCATGTTTTCCCACTCACCAACTCACTATCATAGAACCTCAGCTCACTGTAACAGACACGGGTCACTATAACACTTCTCGACTCACTACCTATAACAAACATTGGCTCACTATAACAAACTTCAAAGCACTATAACAAACTTTAGCTCACTATTTCAGACCCCCAACTCATTATAACAGACCCCGACTTACTATAACAGTCCTCGACTCACTATAATAGACCTCGACTCACTATAACAGACCTCGACTCATTATAACAGTCCCCCACTCACCGAGTCTCTCGTACTGGGCGGCGAACTCGGCACGATGCCCACGTGTTTCGGTTCTGGCGGTAGGAACAGGAACACAAACAGCGCCACCACTCCCATCACCAGCGCTGGGTATATGAATGACAACGCCCAGTTGGTTTCTACACACTCCAACTAGCTCTTGGTAGATGGAAACTAGTCAGTGCTAGCTCTAAAATAAATACCCGCTTAACAACTATCATACATCCCTATTTACCAATGTCACTATCATGAAACGCCACTCAACTGACTATCATAGATGAATCACTAACTCACTATCATAGATCCCCAGTCACTAACTCACTATCATAGAACCTCAGCTCACTGTAACAGACACGGGTCACTATAACACTTCTCGACTCACTATAACCAACACTGGCTCACTATAACAAACTTCACAGCACTATAACAAACTTCACAGCACTATAACAAACTTTAGCTCACTATTTCAGACCCCCAACTCATTATTACAGACCCTGACTCATTATAACAGACCCCGACTCATTGGGTACTCACTGGGTATATGAATGACAACGCCCAGTTGGTTTCTACACTCTCCAACCAGCTCTTGGTAGATGGAAACTAGTCAGTGCTAGCTCTTGTTAGATGGATACCCAACTATCTTGGATCCCCACTCATCAATCAACTATCATGCATCTCCTCACTGACACATAATCATGGATCCTCAATTTATTTATTTATTTGTAATAGGTATAAAAACAGTTTACAGTCTAGGCTTCATCGTAAAGAAAAAGTGTTAATAAAATTACATACTGGACCGTAAGCCAAAATTTGCAACTGTCTATCGCGGATCCCTATTCTCTAATAAAGAATCATGAATATCTACTCACCAACGTCACTATCATCGAACCCCACTGGTTAAGTCACTATCATAGATCGCACCAACTCACTATTACGGATCCCCTAGTCACCAAGTGACTATCACGTATCACCATTCATCAGTTGACTATCATGGTCCCCCACTCACCAACTCACTATCATAGATCCCCACTCACAAACTATCATGGTTCCCTAAAGCCTGGTCCGTGATCACGTAGAATTTTGTCGCGCTCGCACACTCACTGCGGGCGCCCGTCGCACAGTCGCGACAGCAATATAATTACGCGCGAGCGATAAGGATGGGTAGCTTGGGGTCATTGGACAAAATTCTACGTGCTCACGGACCGGGCTTTACCTACTATCACTTAACTTACCGAGTCTCTCGTGCTGGGTGGCGAACTCGGCACGATGCCCACGTGCTTCGGTTCTGGCGGTAGGAACAGGAATACGAAGAGTGCTACCACTCCCATGACCAGCGCTGGGTATATGAATGACAACGCCCAGTTGGTTTCCACGTATTCTGCTGCAAGGAGCGCGCCTGGGAATGAAAAGAGAGAAATTATTTATCACAGACTAGCTCGGCTGAACCATTTAAGAACCTAGTAAGGGACACTTTTGCAGATTTTCGTTTTTTGTCATAAATCACCTTAGAATGAAGGTCTCCACAGGATGTGAAGACAGAAATCGCTCTATTACACTTAACACCGGAAATACGCGTAGCTAAAAACCTAGTAAGTTCAATTCAAATCTGCAAAAACCATTATCAAAACCTAGCAAGTCACAATGACCATTTTAAAACCTAGTAAGTGCATGGACTTACTAGGTTTCAAAATGGTCAATGTGACTTATTAGAGGTAAAATGCTACTGTAATTTAAATATTATTTCGAGTTCTGTTGGCTGACACTCGATAACCATATCAAAATCTGGGGACCATACGAGGGCGGCACTGAAAATTTCGGGAATCAAGGAAGTGAAACAACATTACTATTTAAAAATGTATTTATTGATTTTTAAAGTATTCTCCGCGAACTTTGACACATTTTTCCATACACGAAACCAATAATTGAAGCAACCATTGCATTCGGAAGTTTGGGTCTCCAAAATGGCCGTTTTGTAGGCTTCCACAGCTTCTTCAGGTGATGAAAATCTCTGACCACGCAATTTATTCTTTATTTTAGGGAAAGTATAGAAATCATTAGGGCTTAGGTCGGGGCTGTACGGCGGATGGACNAATTAAGACTCTTTTAAAAGCTCCACACACCCATTAAGTATAATGGATACCCAAGCACTCTTCTTATCACTTTCATAGATCCCTTACTATCTTGGATCCCTACTCACCAACTCACAATCACAAATCTTCCCTACTAAGTATCGTGGATCCCCATTCCCCAACACAGAATCATGGACCCCACTCACTGACTTTAAGATCACAAACCCCACTATCGTGGATCCCCACTCACCAACTCACTATCATGGATTCCAACTTACTCATCCCAACCCAACTTTCCCAACCCAAGTTACCAAATATCATAATATCCCTATTTACCAACGTCACTATCATGGAACATCTATAAAGTCATTAACATTCTCAATTCTCTGCTCACCAACTGACTATCATAGATCCCCATTTGCCCACAAAGTATCATTCTCCACTGAACTCCACTCCCCAATTCACTATCATAGATTTCCATTCACCATTTGAACAACTGACTGTCTAAATCCCTCTCACTCACCAACTAACTATCACGGTTGTTGAACCCCACCGGTTACTAATTACCAACATCACTATCATCGAACCACACTCACTAAGCCACTAACATACACTCCTAACTAAATATAGTGGATCCCGCCTCTTCATTTCACTATCATAAATAACTCACTATCATAGATCCCAATTCACCCACTGACTATCATGATTCCTCACTCATCAACCATTTATAATGAACCCACTCACCAACTATCACGGCTCCCCAACTATCTTGAATAACGAACTCACTATCATAGATCCCCTTTTACTATCACGAACTCACCGAGTCTCTCGTACTGGGTGGCGAACTCGGCACGATGCCCACATGTTTCGGTTCTGGCGGTAGGAACAGGAATACGAAGAGTGCTACCACTCCCATCACCAGCGCTGGGTATATAAATGACAACGCCCAGTTGGTTTCCACGTATTCTGCTGCTAGGAGCGCGCCTGGGAATGAAAAGAGAGAAATTATTTATCACAGACTAGCTCGGCTGAACCATTTAAGAACCTAGTAAGGGACACTTTTGCAGATTTTCGTTTTTTGTCATAAATCACCTTAGAATGAAGGTCTCTGCACAGAGAAAGGACAGGATGTGAAGACAGAAATCGCTCTATTACACTTAACACCGGAAATACGCGTAGCTAAAAACCTAGTAAGTTCAATTCAAATCTGCAAAAACCATTATCAAAACCTAGCAAGTCACAATGACCATTTTAAAACCTAGTAAGTGCATGGACTTACTAGGTTTCAAAATGGTCAATGTGACTTATTAGAGGTAAAATGCTACTGTAATTTAAATATTATTTCGAGTTCTGTTGGCTGACACTCGATAACCATATCAAAATCTGGGGACCATATGAGTACTGATTCATATTCGATTTTGATTTTTACGAGGCAATTATGTCAAAAAAATAATTTTTAGTGTTAGTAATGAGCATAAAACTTGCAATTTTTAACTAAATATATATATTCTTTTATTCCATAAAGTATACCTACTTCAGTAACTAATCTTCAAAATAAACATCGGAAGTTATCCAAATCTTTAAGCATCTTAGCAGGGTAAATGAAAATGCGTTTTTTCGCTCTCCTGTAAAATTTGCTCCGCTGCACTTACTAGCTGACTCAGCGAAATTCCTCAGAGGTGGTATTGTGTAAAGCAATCGTTATCATTTGACAGTTCATAACGTACGATTATTCTGTCAAACGCTTTGTTTAACTGACTTTATCGTACGTTATGAACTGTCAAATGATTACGATTGCTTTACACAATTCCACCTCAGATCGGAAATAATGTAGGATACTAATAGCGCAGTTACACTATGCGCGAACTTGATCGAGGGAAGTATGGGTGGTATGGGTATGGGCGATGCAAGGCGAAACGATATAAAGTTTACACTGTCTGATTCGATCAACTTCGCGCAAAGTGTGACTAACTGCGCCATAATGGGTGAAAGAATTTCAGTAGTGTCGGAAACAAATAAACAACTAATCTTTCCTGTTTATAATATTACTGTAGAATTGTAGATGATAATTGAATTATGAACATTGGCCAATGTTTTCGACGCAATTTAATAATTTCTTAGCTTATGAATGAATGATTAACTGACGAACTCACCCAATATATTCCCGAGTGAAGTGTGCGAGTTCCATATCCCGAAGATGAGTCCCTTCTTGGAGTTTCCGAACCACTTGCCCACAATGGCCACCGTGCCCGGCCAGCCAGTCGTTTGTGCTATGCCCGCCCCCGCCTACGGAACACAGATACCACGTTACAATAATCTTCTTCTTGTCGTGTCGACAACAAACCTACACAGTGTCAGCCCAAAACTCCGCCACAAGAGTGGCGTTGTCAGCAGCATTCATCAAATCCCCCTGCGTGCAATTGCTCGGGCACTCAGGGCACGACATCATCAGGTTACAATAATGAAATGTTTTTATTGCCTTGTATCTAGGGGTATTTTTCATGGGGGGCCTGGCCCCTGACATGCCATGTCGCCGGGTATGACGCGAAGCTTACAAATTATACACTTTCACGCTTTCGCTCCATCAATCTCAACCCTGAGTCCCTGAGTGCCCGAGCAGCTGCACACAGGAGGATTTACTAAATGCTGCTGACTACGCCACTCTTGTAGCGGAGTTTTGGGCTGACACTGTGTAGCTTTTATTGAAAACGGCCCTAAGGCACGGTTTCTTGAACTTCTATAAGATCTCTCGCTGCTTCGTCGCCTCTTTCTCACGACTTTTTGTGAGATTACCTACGTCCTCAAGGAAGGCAGAAGGGGATAACATCCTCCTAAGATAAGACACTCCTAAGGTCCTCCTCACACTCGCTCCGTCACCTCATCATCATTTCAGCCACAGGACGTCCACTGCTGAACATAGGCGGGAGGCCTATGTTGTTGATTGATTTCCATGTTGACCGGTTGGTAGCGACCTGCGTCCAACGCCTGCCTCCCAAGCGTCTCTTTTTCTCTCTCTCTCTCTCTTTTGTCACCGTTTGTCTCTCTCTCCTGTCACCTGCGCGTTCACTTTCTTCTGTCACCTACACCTCTCTGTCTCTCTCACCTGAGCCAGCAGATAGTACGCAATGCTGTGCACGCCATAAGTGTAGCCGACGCCGAACATGTAGCAGCAAGCTGCCGAGAGCAGCATGCCCAGGCTCAGGAAGTATCTGAGGTCCACGCGCTCAGCCACCATGTCATTGGCTAGGGGGCTTCTTCCCTTAGCTGATGATGATTAGAAGCGAAAGGTCGTACAATCGCCTTCGCTCCAGGCTCAGGAAGTATCTGTGACCAACACACTCAGACTCTTCTGTCCCTCCTGTCACCGCACCTACTTCAGTCTCTCTCTTTCCTGTCACCTGCACGCCTCTTTCTCTCTTTTCTCACCTAAACTAGTAGATAGTATCCGATGCTATGCACCTGCTCTTTCTATCTTTCCTGTCACCTGCACCTTCTGTCTCTCTTCTCTCACCTGCACCTGTTGTCTCTCTCTTCTCTCACCTGCACTTTATGTCTCTCTTTTCTCACCTGCACCCTCTGTCTCTCTCTCCTGTCACCTGCGCCTCTTTCTCTCTCTTTTCTCACCTGAGCCAGCAGATAGTACGCGATGCTGTGCACGCCATAAGTGTAGCCGACTCCAAACATGTAGCAGCAAGCTGCCGACAGCAGCATGCCCAGGCTCAGGAAGTATCTGAGGTCCACGCGCTCAGCCACCATGTCATTGGCTAGGGGTCTTCTTCCCTTAGCTGATGATGATTAGAAGCGAACGGTCGTACAATCGCCTTCACTCCAGGCTCAGGAAGTCACTAAGAAGACACCAAGAGAAGACTCTTCTGTCCCTCCTGTCACCTCACCTACTTCAGTCTCTCTCTTTCCTGTCACCTGCACGCCTCTTTCTCTCTTTTCTCACCTGAACTAGTAGATAGTATGCGATGCTGTGCACCTTCTGTCTCTTTTTTTACCTGCACCTTCTGTCTCTGGAGAGAGACACTCCTGTAACAGCAGGTGACATGAGTGTCACAGCAGGTGACAGGAGTGTCACCGGTACCTTCAGTCTCTCTTTTCTCACCTGCACCTTTTGTCTTTCACTCTCTCCTGTCACCTACACCTTCTCTCTCTCTCTCTCACCTGAGCCAGCAGATAGTACGCGATGCTGTGCACGCCATAAGTGTAGCCGACTCCAAACATGTAGCAGCAAGCCGCCGAGAGCAGCATGCCCAGGCTCAGGAAGTATCTGAGGTCCACGCACTCAGCCACCAACTCATCATCAGTTCATCATCATTCATCAGCAGCCACTCTAAGATCGTCCGTCATAGATCCTTCTGTCTCCTGACAACGGCCTCCTTAGCTCGTCCTCACACTTCAGCCCCCTTGCCTCCTACGTACGTCTACGTCCTCACAAGTGTCTTTTTCTCTTTCCCTCTCACCTGCGCCACCAGCAGCCACCATACCATTAGCTTTCTTCTTCCCTTAGCCGATGATGATTAGAAGCGAACGGTCGTACAATCGCCTTCACTTCAAGCTCAGAAAGTATCTGAGACCGACACACTCAGACTCTTCTGTCCCTCCTGTCACCTCACCTACTTCTGTCTCTCTTCTGTCACCTGCGCCTCTTTCCCTCTTTTCTCACCTAAACTAGCAGATAGTATGCGATGCTATGCACCTGCTCCTTCTATCTTTCCTCTCACCTGCACCTTTTGTCTCTCTCTCTCTCTCTCTCTCTCTCCTGTCACCTACACTTTCTCTCTGTCTGTCTCACCTGAGCCAGCAGATAATACGCGATGCTGTGCACGCCATAAGTGTAGCCGACTCCAAACATGTAGCAGCAAGCTGCCGAGAGCAGCATGCCCAGGCTCAGGAAGTATCTGAGGTCCACGCGCTCAGCCACCATACCTGCGAGCAGACATCATCAGGTAATGGTCAAATGGATACATCGTTTCATCCACGAAGACGCGCCCCACCAATTTTCGGTCGAGGGAAGCGCGGAGTGCGGGGAATTTGATCCGGTAATTCGTACCGATAACACCCAAACATTAGCGGAAGAATGGTGGGGCGCGTCTTCGTGGATGAAACGATGTATAGCGAACAACTGAGGTGTGGGAGCGGCGACAGAGCATACAAGTCTGAAGCATATCTGAAGTCTCACTGACGTTAGACGTCACAAAAACACTTCCGTGCCGCTCCATACCTTAGGGCAGCGGTTCCCGAATGGTGGTCCGCGGAACCCTGGGGTTCCGTAGAAAGGCCGCAAGGGTTCCGTACAAAATATTATCCCACGTTTCGTGACCGACGTTGTTCGCTCGCACCGACTTGTTTACGCACAAGGGAGGGGCAGGGCGTGCGGGCGGAGTAGTACGGGGGTTCCGCTAGGAAAAGTATAATCAATTAGGGTTCCTTGGCAAAAAAAAATTGGGAAACCCTGCCTTAGGGAACTCTAGACCTATTGTACCTACTAGTATGTTGAAGGTCCTTTTTAGGGAATTTATACATGTTCTAATATAACTTGCATTACCACACACAGTCAAGTCAGTGTGGCATTATTTATCTTTAAAAACTACCTCACCTTAGTGGATGTCAAAAAGTGACCGTCATTGGCATCTAGAAATGGGTGAAAACACTAAAATCATAAACTAATGATGTCATCATTGCACTTAAAAACCTAGGAATTAGGCCAGCTGTGCCAATATGGGCGCGCGTCACGCACTCACGTTGTGAGGATTGTAATGCGATATTGATAAACAGAAATCGACCAAGCGCGAAACAGTCTCGTATAGGACTAGGGTTCTGTGTAGTATTCTATTTTAGGGTTATGCAGGTTCAAATGTCAAAAAAATTTGTCCGCATTGGAAATAATTGTCGAATTGAAATGAATCGACAATGTAGGGAACATTGTCGACATTCCACCAGCTCGCACTAAGCGTTTCGACGACTCGTTTATGCGAACAGCTAGGGACTGGAATTCGCTGCCTGCTGCTGTATTTCCTGAACACTATAATCCGGGCGTTTTCAAGGCGAGAGTGAATACGCACTTACAGGGCAGATATGTACAATCCTAGACTGCATATCACTTAACATCAGGTGCGATTGCGGTCAAATACCTGCTACCTTGTCTAGCATTAAAAAAAAATGCTCAAAACTCGATTCAATTTAACAGCCTTGATTCTGTAATGATTGGACTAAATATTGTTTTATTTTGAAGCCAAGTTAGCCCCTCGTACTAAGCTAAATATGCTTGTGTCATGATCATGAATAGGCTCATCGCTCACCATAATAGTCGAGCGGCGGCGGGGCTCGAACCCGCGTCTCTCGGTTCAAGTCAAGTCGATGTTTCCGTGTCAAAGTGAATTGTGTATTGTAACATTGTAACAAAACAGTGTAACATTACATTACTTACCAGAAACAAACATGGCGCCCGCATAGGAGAACAAGAATGCTGAGTCCAGAGCGCCCAGCAGAGTATTTGCGTCAGTCGTGTCTGTGAACAAATAATAAACAATATTATTTTATGTTATAAACACCGTCAAATCAAATCAAATAGTTTATTCAGTACGTAGCCCCTTTACAGGGCACTTAACATGTCCCAAATACCCGTCCCCCGGACACGGCCTGAGCCGAGGTCTGAGCCTACCGTGGCGCCCTCAGGCCGCGTCCGTAGTCCCCTCGATCGGGCCCACTAGAGTGAGCCCGCCGTAGGCTGGACTTTGGTCCAACACCGCGGTGGGCAACCCTCTAGTTGGGTTCGCCACTGATCGGGCGCCTTATGCGCTCGATACGGAGCGATCGCAAACGTCGTTCTGCGATAACGCGGACGAGCCCACACTCAGCCTCCTCGGCACGCGCACCGACGATCGCCAAACGGCTAGAGTACCTTCTACATATAGTTGCCACTCTGCCCGGTGAAGCTGGAAAAGCTCTTAAAGCTACCAGCGCGCGTCCCAAAAAAAAATCGGGTTATTCCGTATTCGACCCATGACAACTCAACCCATTTCTTCACTCATCCCAAATTAGTATTCCTAGCTCAACCCATTACATAATTTCGTTATTCTACCCAAATGCATTCCTTACTCAACCCAAAGTAAATATACCAAAAATAAGTATGGATAGCAAAACAACGTTTACTGTTTTTTCAGAAATTTAATAGAACGATCTTAACACAAAAGTTAACTGAGCTTAAATTTCAAAAAAATATATTTTTATTCTGACCGTACCTTCATAAAAATCTTATATTTTTTAAGTAGTTGTAATGTTTTTGGGGTGAATAAGGAACATAAAATTAAAAATTTGTTGTGGGTAGAATAAGGAACAAAATTGGGTTGAGTAAGGAAAAAATAATGAGTGGGTTGAGTTGTCACGGGTCGAATACGGAATAACCCAAAAAAAAATCGTCCCAAATATACCTACCTAGCATTTTTTTTGTCTAGCTGAAATTGCATACCCCCTGGCTCGGGTGAACCAGTGGGTTATGTGAGGCCCTCCCTGCCAGATGGGCAGGGCCTACTCACTAAAAGCTGACGGTGTCCTCCCAAAGTCTTTGGGAGGGAACTGCGAGTTATTGTCCGAACTGGACGGCCTAGACATTCTTTCGCGGTTCCGCCCCAGGTCCCAAATGGAACCTAATTTCCGAAATAAATTATTTGAATTTTAATTTGAATTAATTTTTACCTAGGACCGATAGATGGACTGCGATGCCGAGTGTTAGGTGTGATTTGCGTACATGAGGTCGCGGGTTCGATCCCCGAACAATAGAATCATTTGTAAGTTTATGAATGAACTTATGTTTTTGCATTGATCTTGGTGTTTTTACATAAAAAGTATTTATGTATGTTTGTTTATTATCTGTTGTCTGGGTACTCTTTGCAAGTTTTGCATAGTTAGGACTAGATGGCGCAGTGTTCAATGTCCAAGGATATTTATTTATTTAAAAAAATAATTACTACTTATCTAGAAATTAATTTAAATACATTGTTTTATTGTACAAACACAGTCAAACAAATATTTTATAATTTTTGTTTCGAAAAATTAAGTTAAAGTGAAATTAATTTTATCGACGTAAAAAAAAGCATTGCAAAATTCGCATTATTAGTTAGTTTCCTTAGGTTGCCAAGCGATGGCGTTGTTCCCTTCATCGTGCCCTAAAAACGTTACATCAAACGAAAATCATCTTTATTAATTTCGATTTACCAATGTTAATAATAAATTGCAAATTTTAAATAATAGCCACGACGCCCAGGTTGTTTGTAATATACAGCAAAACCAAAATAAAAGCACAAGGATTTTTTTCTAACTCGCACATTAATTCTTTCTCACACGAATCCTGAATCGCGGTGACGAAGTTTTTGGCCCCGCTAAGTATATATACGGCTAGATTGCAATTTCCATCGGGAGTCCGTTGCTACACAGTAGTGCAGTGATGGGGGGGAGCTGCCCTAATTCTCCCCTACCGCGCTGTGAGTATGTTTGCCCCGGCTTGCTCGCGCGCTGAGGAGGTAGGAACGAGGTGAGAACACTCCCTCAATCCTAATCAAGGTGAAACCACTTGTGGCTGAGGAAGCCCTTGCGGTGGATCAAAGTTGTAACCGGCACGTTGTAACAGGACTGCGAAGTGATGTCACTTCACCCCACTGATGTAGCAAATTTGACTCCCCTTTTTGGACTTAACTGGTATTGGTCAAAATGACCCCAGCCAGGACATCAATCTCATCTTACTTAAACTCCTGTGAATTGGTTGACAAACTTGCGTCACTCTTAAAAAAACTTAGAAGAAAATTCCTTTTAAATACAAGTTAATTGTTTGAATTTGGTTGTGACATGATGATGATTGATTACTGATAATACTAATTTATCTAAAAACACAACCCCTCTTTTTTAGGTAGCCGGGTAAAAAAAGTCGCCTTTATGTTAATCTAGATTCTAGGGTGTCAGTTATTAGCGGTATGGAGATATCCAATATCATCAAAATCTGTCCAGCTGTTCTTGAATTATAAATGGCCTTTGTGAGATAGTATTATTTGCTGATGACACTTCTTTAATTTTTAAAACTGACAGGCGTCAGGAAATATTTGACGACGTGAATAATGCTCTTTCCAAAGTATTAGACTGGTTTACAACTAATAATTTGCTATTAAACGCAAAAAAAACCAAATGTTTAAAATTCACTATGCCTAATGTCAAACAAGTTAATACTAATATTACAGTAAATAATGAACGCATTGAACTGATAAACTCTACTGTCTTTCTAGGTATTACCCTAGACTGTAAATTACAATGGGGCCCCCATATTGCTGCCTTGGCGGGAAGACTTAGTTCAGCTGCCTTTGCGGTGAGAAAGATCAGAAACTTGACTGATGTTGAAACAGCAAGGCTTGTATATTTTAGTTATTTTCATAGTATTATGTCTTATGGTCTTTTACTGTGGGGCTCAGCAGCAGACATAGAATCAATTTTCATTTTACAGAAAAGAGCTGTTCGGGCAATATACGGTCTTAAACCACGTGACTCGCTTAGAGAAGTTTTTAAAGAAATCAATATATTGACTGTGGCTTCGCAATACATATTTGATAACATTATGTATGTCCGTAAACATATACATTTATTTACTAAGAAAAGTGACGTCCACTCATTTAACACGAGACATAAGAATAAACTTGCTGTTCCATCATTTAGGTTGCATAAGATAGGTAATTCATTCTTGGGGAAATGTATTACCATATTTAACAAAATACCACACAACCTTGTCGAATTGCCAATAAACAAATTTAAGATACATATAAAAAATACCCTTATGTCCAAAGGGTACTACAAGGTTCGAGACTATATTGATGACAAGGATGCGTGGTCAGTTCAGTCTGCACATATTTGATGTACTTAAATTTGACTATTCTTACCGTTAGATAATTCCTGGCAATAAGTGGTGACTGAGTTTGTTCCGGCGTTTCTTCTCAGCACTTGCCATATGTTTGTCTCGAAGCGCTGGTAGGGCCCAAAAGATAAGGAGACATGTAAAGTGCCCCATAAGGGCTACCTTTTTCTTTTTTTATTATTTTCTATTGACGTTCATAAGTGCCACTTGTGGTCTAAACTGAATAAATATTTTTGATTTTGATTTTGATTTTGAATGGTACTATGTGTTTTGTATAAGTTTAAAGATGTGGAAGTCTGTAAAGTATGGACAGAATGTTTGTTATTCTTTCACGCAAAAACTAGTAAACTGATTTCGATGAAACTTTACTAGGATATTAATTAACTCACTGAAAGGCGGCCAGTCGCACCAATTGCCATCCGCAGGATCGACTCCCGGCGGAGGCACGAAACCGCTGCAGTTGCGGTGCAGAATGCTCTTGACCACAGAGATGGTCAGGTGGAAAGAATGAATGAACGAATGAGGCTTGTTTACCAAGTGGGAAGAATGAATGAGGCTTGCGAGTCAGGTGGGAAGAATGAACGAACGATACTTGCGCGTCAGGTGGGAATTAGGCGTCAGGTGGGAAGAATGAACGACTAAAGCTTGCACATCACGTAGGAAGAATGAACGAATGTACTCACTGAATGGCGGCCAGTCGCACCAGTTGTCATCCGCCGGGTCGACTCCTGGCGGTGGCACGAACCCACTGCAGTTGCGGTGCAGAACACTCTTGACGACGGAGATCGGCTTGCGAGTCAGGTGGTACGTCATGTACGTGAAGAATGTCAGCATCAGCACACATGATTGGTACCTGGGGACGATAATACAAATCAAATCAAACGTTCTTTAGTCTCTGCTTCTTGTTGGTACACTCAAGTACTAATTTATAGTCCTGATTTCAAATGCCCTTTTTACACTCAAGGGGAATATGCTTAATTAATGATTGTAATGTGAATAAACTTTAATATTGTTAAACTTATTATAGCACGTTTTGTTTCGAGGTACCTACCAGTGTCAAAAATTACATTTAAGTTATGTATAAAATGCATCTTTTTGCGATTTTCGCTATAGGAAGAGCGCTAGCTTATCCTAAAATACAGCGCTCTGCCCTAACTTAAGAAACAAAGCTCAATGTTTTTAGTATCATAATATTTTGTAAGATGCATTAATATCTGTACTTAAAAATTTGTTCCTTGTTTTTATATGCATATACTTACTTTTGAATAAATAGATTTGTATTTGTACTTAAGTACTTCGTTTTGGCGTTTATTTGATTGCGAACACAGTGATGGCCAGCGGGCCGGTAGTCGTGGGGGCGCTTTCGCAAGCATTGCACCACCACCGTCAGACGGGAACAGCTGTGTGCTCCCAGCTGCTCCCGTCGCCCCCTGTCCTGGGGAGCTTGTAGGACAATCGCCGGGAGTGACTGGTAGTGAAGGCTTGGCCCAGAATCCCAAAGTTTCCTCCCACGAACGACGAGTGACGAAGCACCGGGGTCTTTTGAGTAGGTATGCCTTGTCCTTCTGACTTGGTGAACCCTACATAACCTACCCTGTCCCCGCGGAGTAGGTATGCAATGAGGGCTATCGTTTTAGCGCTCACCAGTTAGCGCCACTGTAGAGTAAGGTCCTGTCACTTGCTAGTAGCGAAGACAGTGGCACTAACTGGTGAGCGCTAAAGTGGTAGGAGGACTATCGCATTTGCACTCTTAAAGATGGCGCCACTGTAGAGTAAGGTCCTGTCAATCGCCAGGGGTGCCAACTGTTAAGTATAAAAACGATAGCCCTCATTCAATGAATTTGTCCCCGAAAAAATAAAAGATACCTTCATGCATAATAACTGTAGTGGTTCGTATTGGACTCCAGAGGAGAGGTCGCGGGTTCGATTCGGGGCTGAGATGGGCGACCCCTGTATGGTTTTTTGTCGACGTAACAATGTTCTTGTTACGCTATAATTTGATCAATAACAATGTTTCAATTGATATTGACTGTAAATTGATCTCTGAATTCTCTGATTCATTCAGTTCAACGAATCACGACCCGCACGAGTCACGGTGCAATAACATTAAGGTACAGTCAGCATCAAATAGTTCGGTTTTGTTCCCCAGTCGATGAAGCACCTGAGCCCCGATTAAGGTAATTTTTAACGTCTCCAATCCAGACGCGCTTCATCGATTCTGCGTTACGATTGGTCAAAACAGCTGACGTACGCTGTTTTGATCATTACGCTGACCAATCGTATCGCAGAATCGATAAAGCGCGTCTGGATTGGAAACGTTAAAAATTACCGTAATCGGGGCTCTGATGTCGTGCCCTGAGTGCCCTACAACTGCACTCAGGAGGATTTGATGAGTGCTGCTGACAACGCCACTCTTGTGGCGGAGTTTTGGGCTGACACTGTGTAGGTTTGTTGTCGACACGAAAAGAAGAAGTTCGTGACTTGGGTTTGTTCGTTCGTTTCAGCCAAATGACGTCCACTGCTGGACAAAGGCCTCCCCCAAGGATTTCTACAACGATCGGTCCTGCGCCAGCATCTAGGCACCTCCCGCGACCTTCACCAGATCGTCGGTCCACCTAGTGGGGAGCTTGCCCACACAACGTCACGTCTTCCAGCCCATAGCGTAGTCGCCACTCGAGAACTTTTCTACCCCATAGGCGATCACTTTGGGTGTTACAAACGAACTATATGACGCTAAGTGTACATCCAGCTAAGCGAAATTTGAGTCTTATCATGGTTGAAATGAATGCTATTTTGCAACAACACTGATTGTATGACATTGTTGTGAACGCGATTCATCTGTATGACCTTTGTTTGTAAGGGAGAAAGGCCTTTGCACTGATGACATTATGACGCCGAATTTATAGCGTCGTTCTTTTATGAGACCCGTATCTTTTGTAATACAATAAGTGGTAAATTAATGTATTTGATGCGTTTCTTTTGATTCTAGTTTGCGCCCGCGGCTTCACCTGCTTGAATATCGGTTTATCACAGTTATTCTTATCGATTCAAAAACCGGGATAAAAAAAATATCCTACGCATTTTTTCATCTTCCTCGTGATTTACTTTGTTCTTAAAAACCTAATGACAATCAGTTTAGTACTTTTTGAGTTTACGCACGCGGCGTGTGAAAATCAATTAAAATCCACATTCATTATGCTTTTGCCACACAGTAAAAACAAATTGAATGACATCACTGATAAGAAATTAGCAATTTCTAGTTAAGTGTCTAGTTCTTAAATATTGTGCACCATATGTTAGAAATTTGCTAACAGCTCTGTAACTATGTGTATTTCATACAAGTTCAAAATGGATAACATATTTTGTATGTTTGTTGTAATCTAATTATGAGTCAATTATAAAAGTAAAACCATAAATAACATTGTTAAGATAATATCAGACGTACATGATAGCATGATTCGTATGTGATAGTAAAAATAAACGGAAACGAGTTTGATAAGAAGCTGAAATTATAATATTATCATGTCCACAAACTTAATTAAACAGCGGTGAATTCTGTTTGCACAATTTTTATAATGTGAGAACCTAAATCTGCAAATGTTTACTTTCTCGTACGTTGTTATTGTTGTTGTCTTGTATTATCAGCTATCTGCTGACTCAAAAAGCTTTTGTTTTGATATTAAATACGGACTAACGCTCGTTTTCACCATCAATTCCTAATTTTTAAGTGACCCCTATGAAAACAAAATTCCTGTTATGTGTTACCATAAGGGTATATTTAAATTAGGGATTGATGGTGAAAATGGGCATCTAGTTTAATAGAAAAATCTGTAATTTACCACCTTTTATTGCTTACAGAAATCACTTTCTATGTTTACTCTTAGCTGTACATAGTGTTTGTAGAAATCTTGACTTTTGACCTTTACTTTTTAATAAATACTTTCTCTTTTATGTATGTTTAGTGTTCTAGAGTTATGCTGAAAAATAGCTCACATATTAGAATGATAAAATTAGTAGTAGTTGTAGTAAAAGTATTTAAAACTAACATTTAAATAAAATATTTAAATTAGGTACCTATTTTGACTTAATTTCTATTAATTTTAATTAGACTTAATAATTGGCCAACGATAACCTTGCTAATTGTGACTAACAATATTGTAACTTGGTGATAACTCAGTAAATGCACAAGGCTTTATTGTAAAGTAATTACAAACAAATGTTGTTTGCAATTAATTCATGCATAAACTCAATGATTCATCTCAAGCGTGAATGCCATAGCCTTGGCCGCAATTAAAAAAAATAATTAAAAAAAAACTTACAATAGTAGCCTGTTGAACTGAAGGCGAGGGAATAGGGAACCACTCAGGCTCTGAAGACACTGGACCCCCAAAGGCGCATCGCGACTCACTCCACTCATTTTGACTCGCTTTTTTCGTCGAAAATGCTTAACAAACCCTACTAAAAGGCTACTCATTAACGCCCACTGGTTGTACTAATCTCTAATCGCATTTTTTCGCATAATAATCTCTTTGTTTACATCTGAGTACTTGGATGAATTCGAAACAATAATTTCACGTCATTTGTAACTCTTACACTACACTGATTGATTGTCAAATATTAGAAAGCTATTAAAATTTCAAATAAAAACACCTTTGTGGTAAAATTTTAACAAAATTAATTGATTTCGAATTAATTTCAGTAAAATACGTCGATCCGACCGACCACGTCCCCTGCGGGAAATGTCAATGTCAAATTTTTTGACGTTGCATGCGTTTTGTAACTGCTCTAAACTCTACACCGTTTCGTTGCCAATGAAGCATCCTCATTCCTCAATACAATATTTTGCTCAGAAAAGTTGTAAATTGTAATCAATGATATTACAGAACATTTTATTTAATATTTTATATAATATCATTGATTGTAATAATATTATTGGCTGCGCTACCGCGACATATTTATAAACAGTTTATTCGCTGGGTGCGAAGTACTAGGTGGGGGTAGAGATGGGTAGTGGGTAAAAACCCATTTCACCCGATTGGGTTAAAACTGGGTGATTTGGGTAAAAACCCGGTTTTTACCCATTACCACCCATTCTGGTGGGTGAAAACAAAAATAGCGTTTTTTTAAAGTGAGAAGTGGTATTTGTTGCTCCTTAGCAACAAATACCACTTCTCTCACCCCCTTGGGCGTTCTAGTGTTACGTAATGCAATCTGGGGGGAGAGGAGGTCTTGAAAAACGTTACAATGCGTTACAGTGGCGGAAGGGCGGTTCGATTTCAAGTTTTTAAGCAGAAGTACTTTGTAGTTGCTGTTGTTATTTGTAACTTTATACCGTAATGTCATCAAAGAGAGAGTTTGGCATCTTTGGCCCCCCCCCCCCCCCCCTCCATGTCCTTGCCATGATCACAAATTATTGTGTTCCTACTAAATTTCTTCTAAATNTTGTAAGTGTTGAATTTTATGGAATTGGGAAAGAAGTACCGAGTTTGAGCTTTCATGAGCAGACATTGTAGTTGAATATTCAAGTTCAGAATTTGATTATTGATGAATAATAATAAAATCCTACTTGCTCGATTGATGGTTTCATTTAATTTATTGAAACCAGTCGACCTATAATATAATATTTTTTGTTAATTTATGAAAATATTAAATTAGCCCATAATCCTGAATCCTGATACATAAAGTTAGCCTATTAATTTAATACAGGTACGACTAGAGATGTGCCGCTGAGAAAGTTCTCGTTCCCGGCAATATTCCCAGTGAGAATATTCTCAAGAACCGAGAACGCTCCCGGGAATATTCTCAGTGTTCTCGACAGAATACATTTAGTTTTAATTTTAATTTTGTTGTATAAATGTGGTATTATTTGTAATACTTCGATGTTTTATTAACTGGGCGTTAAGACTAGTCGTTATAAACAAGGCATTAAAAACGTGTGAGTGAAATATTGCTGTATTTGAAAATAAGTATTTGGTATTTGAAAATAAGTGTGCCTCTGAGTTTTAAGGCCCTTGCCACTCTGGCGGATTTCAAGTGGATTCAAAGCGGATTTAAAGCGGAGTGGCGACGCGACGGAGACGCCGCGTGAAAATATCGTGAAGCTTCCCGAAGGCTGTCCAACCGAGCTGGATTCGATGATTGACCTTTTTTTTTCGAAGTTGGACCTACCTAACTGGACTGTTTGTCCCAGGTATACATTGTTGTCAACAACTTCGAGTGTAGAGTCTCCAACTTTTAGAGGAGTGGGTGCAACACGGTTTTTAGACATGATTTTTAAATCTTGTCCATGGTCATTTTGAGACCCACTTGTTGAGAGACTCTATTGAGGCTATCGAGCATTGTGCCTAGATCTTCCTGCTAAATCCGCTCCAGCCCAGAAGCTTGAAAACATCTTCTAGGGCGGTGGTGATGACGTCTCCCTGTCTCACCCCTCGCTGCAACTGGATAGGTTTCGGGTCCTGATCTTGAAACGGACTGTTACTATGGCGTGTTTGTACAAGCCTTTCAACACTTCAATGTATCGATAGTCAATTTGGCACAGTTGGAGAGACTGCAGCACTGCCCATAGTGCCCATGTCTCAATCGAATCGAAGGCTTTCTCATAGTTCACAAACGCAAAGTGGCTGATTATACTCCTTGATCTTCCGTATAATCTGCCGTAGCGTATATTATTATGGTCTGTGGTACTAAAGCCTTTTCAGAAACCGGCTTGTTCGGGGGGCTGAAAGTTGTCAAGCCTGCTAGCGTGACAATTCGTAATGACTATCAAAAACAGCTTGGAGATATGGCTCAGAAGCGAAATGAGTCTATAATTCTTCAACAAGGTTTTGTCGCCTTTTTTGACGAGGAGTATCACCATACTTCTTTGCCATACCGTAGGCGTAATTCCCTTGAGGATGACGGAATCGAACAGCTTCTGAAAAGCCTTTAGTACCGGCGTTCCACCTGCTTTCAGAAGCTCAGCCGTGATTACGGTGCCTTGTTGTTTTTCAGCTGTTTGAGAACCATTCTAATCACGTACAGACTAAGATCAATCTAGCTAGCACGTATTTTATATAAAAATATGTCAAATGATCCGTCAGACAGGCTATCCACAACTTATCCAGAAGTGGCGAAACAGGCCCTTACTAAGCGACTGTGAAATATGCCCTTAATGTCAAATGTAAAGAATAGTTTAAAGAACTAAAAACACGCTTTTAATTACTAACAGGAATCATCAGGACCCTGGACATCATCAGCATTAAATTGCTCGAAAAGACAAATCTAACGAACCCAAACTCGATGAGTTTCCACCGTTTCGTTTAGGAGTTCCTATGGCCACCTACTGACTCCATCATTAGGACCCTGGACATTATCTAGCACTTAAAGATATCGAAAAGACAAATCCAATGAACCCAAACTCGATGTGATTCCACCGTTTCGTTTAGGAGTTCCTTTGGCCACCTTCCAGTCCCATCATCAGACCAGCTGGTACCACAATATTGTATTGTCATCTAATCTGCATAAAGTTTCATGATGATACAAGACTTAGAAATGCATGTAATTCAGATTCTAAGATTCCATTACATAGTTAGTTACATACACGACGACCTAATAAAAGCGTGTTAAAAACGAAAAAAATTACAGTTATATTATTTAATTGCATGTAAAAAGAAATTTCTGTCATCTTACATATCATTTAAAACGACAATTCACGACGAAAAAAATAAAATATAATAAAGGAACAGTTGCCGAGAATATTGCCGAGAAAGTTCCCGAGAATATTCTCGGGAACACTGAGAATATAGCCTTTCTCTGCAAATAGAGTGTATTGTTCAATATACACTTATCTGTCGACTTAATTTAATACTATTTTACTTAAGAAAGTTTGTTTATTTCCATTTGATAAACATGATTCTCAACCTTTCTCACTTAGGAGAACGCTCCCGGGAGCGCTCCCGAGAATATTCTCAGTGAGGAGAGCGTTCTCGGGAACGGCACATCAATAGGTACGACTGTACCCAGTGTTGCACTATCAAATACAATTGACGCGCCTCTATGCCAGGGTTTTTATGTTCCTGGTCAGGCTATATATGATTACATTTTATTCATAGATTTTATTGATGTTTAAGTTTGTTATGTTTAAACTCGACTGTACCCAGGTACCACCAGGAGGTATAGCCTGACCAGGAACATAAAAACCCTCGCCATGTTGCGGAAAATTAATGGTACTAATTTCTTTTAATGGCAACAGTAACTGAAAACTTCATTGACATGTCACCTTGCATGTCAGTCTATTGCTGTCAAAGTGTAAACAAACTTTATTTTAAATGTGTGCAATTGATTTTGTGAAATAAATTGCTAAAATATTTTTATAGTCGTGAAAGAAAAGTGGTTCACAATGTGTTAATGTATTTGTCGAAGAGAAATACTAAGGGTTCGGACAATATTTTCATTGAATAATGTTTCCGACAAAGGTTGTCAAATTGACTGACATGTTTATCGTATAGTACAGTCCACTATGAAAATTAGCTGTAGTTTGTTTCAACACTTTCAACTACCTACTTTAAAGTTTTTTGTCACTTTCTAAGTGTTGAATTTTATGGAATTGGGAAAGAAGTACCGAGTTTGAAGCGTTCATGAGCAGACATTGCAGTTGAATATTCAAGTTCTGAATTTGATTATTGATGAATAATAAAATAAATCCTACTAGCTCGATTGATGGTTTCATTTAATTTATTTAAACCAGGTTACCTTTATATAATATCTTTTCGTTAATTTATAAAAATATCAAATTAGCCCGTAATCCTGAATCCTGATACATAAATTTAGCCTATTAATTTAACACAGGTACGACTGTACTCAGTGTTGCACTATCAAATGCAATTGACGCGCCTCTATGCCAGGGTTTTTATGTTCCTGGTCAGGCTATACCTACAATAATACTACTGTTTAAATTATACAATACTTACTACTTTTACATACAACGTAATTTAATTTGTTAATACGCAGAAAATTACATTGATAACGTGTCATTAAAATGGGTAGTTATTATTTTATATTGCATGTAATTAAAATGAACGATATTAAAGCATTATTTCTGTATTTCATAGATAAATAGCTTTTACATCTCAATGTTAAGGTTTAAGTAAAATGAATAATTTATTGGTAAGTTTAAATCTTGAATTGTTTTTCTTTCAATAGATGGCGTTGTCATTACATTGTATCTTAGTCAGGGCACCCAGGGCCGTTTTTCACAACCTACGGGCATATTAAGGATCAGGGGCCCCATGGGTTTATCAGTAGTTGTTTCAGTAAATTAAGTACTTACCTATTGTGGCTATCGCTAATTCGCTACACGGTTGGGATTACTGCATTAGTTATAATCTGAGAAAGGTACTCGCAAATCCGTTGTTCTAAGTAAATTCAACGACATTTTCAACCCCCTGTACAACCCAGTCAACTTATTTGCGCACCTCGCACTCACCCGCACATACATTTCTGCGTTCGTCACGTTTGTGCCAAAGCGTCGATGTGACGTCACGGCTGCCAGCTTGACCGGATTGTAGGTAACTACGTTTACGGCCCTCTCAACGTTCCTAGACTTTTACATGTCTCTGCGTGAGCCTGACGGCGGTTGGGAGCACATGGTTCCAGACAGGCTGGCTCGGCCGGCTGGTGCAGTATCACAAGACTAAGTTCCTGGATGAGCTCAACGAGGTCGCTCCCATTAAGATTAAAGGTACGTCGATTATAGGACGAAGCGCACATATCAACCCGGAAATGGGTTGTAACCGTATCAACTAGAGGCTGTATGTATTCTTTGTATGAAATTCCGTACTGCAACGCACACTTATAATACGCACCGTAACGTAAATGCCCCGCCTCGGTTGACCACGCGGGTGCGTCTAACTACCTTATTCTTTTTTTGTATCTACCTATTAGTAGAACTGTAATCGATTTCTAAGGGTCGCTAACGACCACTTTGGATATTTTGACTGGTGTATTTAATAGTATTTCATTTATGATGAATGGTAGGTGAGGGTATCTACAAGTTTTTACACCGTTTCGATTGTTCGCCCCTCTAGCATCGATAGTGCAGAAAGAGCCAGGCTTCGTGGACTCAACCGAATGGGACTTCAACTCTGTGCTACGTCTGCTGACGCTCATGAGGCAGAGCCAGCAAACGGCGCCAGCGCGGCGCGCGCTGCGGCGCATGCTGCAGCCGATGACCAGGCGGTTCATAAGCAAGGCGCAGAGCTACAAGTTTTTCCCTAGCTTGAGCAAGGTATGATTAGTTTTTTTTTCTTCTGTGCTTCATCTGCAATCAGTCTCCCGACTATGAGCGGATGAGTTGTAGTGCCCTTTGCATGATAAGTGTCTTCTCCACTGAGAAGACTACTTCTTTATGTATTTATACACTCTCCAGTGCAGATTCAGGATGTCATGCCTCTTGAGGCGTTTACTATAGCTTTTTTGGAGCAGTTCCGAAGCCAGCTCATTGGGGTGCAGGGCCAGCCGTTCTTGGTAGTTTTCTGCAGTGGATCGTATTTCCTCCAACACTGTGTTCATCTGCAGGGCCTCGTGGATCTCGGTGTTTGTAACTAACCATGGGGCACATGATATGGTTAGTTAGTTAATGAAGTAGAAGCAAACTATGAGTCAACTAGTTTTGTACACTTGTTGTGTTTCAACCGTTATCTTCATAGTGAATGACTGATAACGATGTCTAGTCACAACAACATAATTTTCCTATTTAACCTAAAATTGACCTTTTCACCTTAATTCAATTTAGTACGTTTCAATAACATACGTGACTAATCAATTAAGTAGGCAGTCGCACCAAATGAGGGCTATCGTTTTTATACTTAACAGTTGGCACCCCTGGCGATTGACAGGACCTTACTCTTCAAATACAAATACAAATAATTTATTGAATTTAAAACATACATTAACATTTACACTTGTATACCTTAACTAATACAGAAACTAACTAACCATAAGAAGAAGAATAATTTATTTAAGCTACTTTTCCCCTGACCTCTTGAAGTTAGGCTGCTAGCACTGAGAGTCGTAGCCTGCGGCGGAGTCAAGAAAGAATGTCCTACAGGCCGTCTATCCAGGATAGTTGGTGCCGTTCCAAGAAACTCTCAACAAAGCGAGATGCCAGCATGAGAGCCTAGGTTGATAGGAAGGTAAGGTACAGTGGCGACTTATCTATCGTTCTTTGGATTTTGATTGGCCAAAACCACACAGAACTTATCATACGTGGTGAATGTTCTCAGGAGCACATCTTTCATCAAACTCCTCTCAAACAAAATCTTAATCCTCCACCGACTAAATTCAATGGTTCAAGTCCACTATGCGGAAAATTGTCTAAGTCGAAGCGCTACCGAAGTTTGTCGGGTATACCGGGTGGGGAAGGAGAAAATAGCCAAGATGTTGTTCACACTATTACGTCTTGACCAATTTCCCGCAGTGTACTTGCGCCACAAGATTCATTTCTTACCAATATCTTCTGAATCACTCTCCACTATTCTGTCTAGAACCACCCCAACGAGTTCTACTACGACATCGACTCGGACGAGATGTACGAGGAGGCCGACAACACCACATCCAGCTCGCTGCTCGACGAGGACGCCGTGCTCGTCATCACCAACCCCGTGGAGGCGCGCCTGCCCAGCGCTCAGATCAGCGTGAAGCTGCTCAAGTAAGAACCACTGCTGTCGTGAAAGAAAGATAGAAAGAAATCATTATTTGCCATAAAAAGGAGACCCGCTTAGTATACTTACTGCCAGCCAAGTGCATAACTGGCCATTTATTTTCTGAGAGTACCGACGGGAATATATAATGCTTTCTATACCTACCTACTAATGTTTTGTCCCTTTCACCCTAAGTGTCTTAGAGCAGAAGCTGGGGCAAAACATCGTCTCAGGCTCGGAAGTGTACGCCCATGAACAGGGCCAGAGGAAGGGGAAACTGTCCCTTCTATCAAGGTGGAGCCTATGATTACAGAGGAAATCGTTTTTACAAATAAATTGTGAGATATGCCAACCCGATCGAACTAACTGCGCATCTGGCTGGAATGCAATATTCTCTCTTACCCGCACGGGTTGTAGGTATGATGCACATATTAAAAGTACCAATACCTTTTTACCCAAACTTCTTGCAGGCAAATACTCGAAAATAGAGCGAAAGCAGGGCGACAGATGCCTACGACCAAAAAAGCCTTGAAGTAAGCATTATTATTTTTTATCATCATCACCAACCTCACCAGCTTATTAATCACTGTTTCTAAAATGTGGTCGCTTGAGTTGTTTTATTTAGTGTAAAATCACATGTGCTACATAAGTAATAAGTGTCACGTCGTTTTGTAATACATACGAGCCTTCAAAACAACAATTGCTTCTTTTGGCAGTTTTATTTAATTTTGTATCACTTTCGTAACAAGTGTTTGCGATATCTCTGGCTCATTTAAAGATACAATTAATAATGACAATTACCTAGCTAGAATATCTTTTTACAGGGCAACTGAAAAAGACAACGAAACAACTAGTGGTTAGTAAAATTTAATGTGATAGATGTAAAAAAGTTTACCCTGGGTTTCACAATCTTACTTTAACTATAACAAACTTCATAATATTATCTCCATACAAACACACTGGTTAAAGTTAAGGTTATGCAATTCAGCCTAACTACGACTCGCGCCTGGCTTAGTGGTTCGTCTCCCGGACTACAAAGCTCCTTTTTGAAGTAACGTAAAAATTAAAGTTTCCATGTTAATTTTCAGATGATAATGTCACTGCTACGGGTAAGTGTAAGATACCTTGTTTTGTTTTATCTTCTTGATGTTGTTTTGTGCCGTTGAATAAAACATTTCATTTTATATGGCTGATTTACACGTATTAAATAGTCACTTAAAATTAAGTTAAAAACTATTTAATACAAGTAATCAGAGGGCTTAGGCCCAGAACAGACGGTGAAACGCAACTGCAACGAAACTGGAACTTTCTGATGATTCTGATGAATGAAACTGAAACTGAGTTTCAAACTGGTCGCGTCATGTGTGGTCTCTCAACGGACGCTATGGCAGAAACTTAGATGCAACTCAAAAGTAACTAGCAGTTGCAGTTTCACCGTCTGTTCTGGGCCTAATGAGAACATCCATTGTACCTTTTGACAGATACAAGCAATGATATGAGCGCCTCGGACGATTCAAGCTCGCCTGATTCGAGTGCGCCTGACTCGAGCACCACTGACTCCACCTCTCCTACGGCCTAGCACAGTGATGGCCAAGAAGTCGACGAAGACGATTTTGGTAGCCCAAGAGAGTTAAATAAACGGAACTTATTTTAAAACGTACGTTATTCGCGCCAAGAACACTAACCCCCTTACTAATAAAACTTACAAGCTCGTTGAACAGTGTTTTAAAGTGACGTTTAGTATGGAAATGTCATTTTAAAACTGTGTTCAACCACTGTGTAACTTTTTATTAGTTAGGGGGTAACTATCTATCTACCAAAAAAATAAATATAGTCCTGTGTAACCTGATTCAGCATTATTTGCTTTTAAATACAAATAAATGTTTAATTAAATGTCCAGTATAATTTTTGTTGCTAAAGTCCGGTCGCCGAGCACGTAGAATTTCGGGCGGCCGCAGTGAGTGTGCGAGCGCGATAGCAATATCGACACACGTGCGATAAGGATGGGTAGCTTGGGGTCATTGGACGAAATTCTACGTGCTCGGCGACCGGACTTTCTCTAAAGTAGGGCTTCACAAACTGTGCGTTGAAGTTCTTTCTTCTACAGTGAAGATAAGGTCATAGCAGACTTATCAACTCGGAAAGGGATCAACTCCGAATCGCCTTTCGCGTCGCCGAAAGATGGCGTTGTATGCCTCAGTTCGCGACTAAAGTAATTTTTAGAGAGTGAAGACTAAATAAGCGAGCTAATAGTGATGACTGATGATTATTTAAACGTATCGCGTAAGGTCCGATTGAAATAAAACGACATTTTTTTTAAATCTATTTAATAACAGGCCAATCCAACTGTACATCAGTGACATCTAGCGCCAGAATGTCGAACTGCGCTTGTATCGCGTCGCCGAGTGATGGCGTTGTGCGTCTTAGTTCACCGTGCACAAACTCTTTGACGTATGCGCCGGCGGACGTGCGTATCCTTAGGACTAGGAGTTGTTGGTGACCTGGGAAGAAAAATTCAATTCAATTATTCAAATTACATCTGGCACCATATCCGCAGTAAATACAAAAAAAAATATCGAGTAACTTACAAACCATTCGCAGTAAATTCTAGCACGTTGCTGGTAGCGATAGTCTGTAAGACACTTGGGATACTTTTTATCCCTAGTACATACTTAGGATACTTCTTATCCAGCAGCGGACGGCGGTGTAACACGCGTATAGGCGTCTTTTGTGAGAGCATTAGACTAGCGGGGTCTCCTTCTCGCATGATTTTGCTTTTGAATGCCTTTGGGATAGTTTTTATCCCGGTATAACTCACCTGGCACCTTCTGAGCGGTCAAATCCAGTACATATTTAGTCCTGTTCAGCAGTGGACGGCGGTGTAACACTCGTATAGGCGTCTTTTGTGAGCATTAGACGAGCGGGGTCATCCGCTGGCGTGATTTTGCTTCTTAATGCCTTTGGGATAGTTTTTATCCCGGTATAACTCACCTGGCACTACATTCGCAGTAAATCTAGCACGTATTGAGTAAATTAGAAGCCATTCCCATTAAATTTCAGCTCGTTTTGGTCTATTAGACACTTGGGATAGTTTTTATCCCGGTATAACTCACCTGGCACCTTCTGAGTGGTCAAATCCAGCACGTATTTAGTTCTATTCAGCAGTGGACGGCGGTGTAACACTCGTATAGGCGTCTTCTGTGAGAGCATCAGACGTGCGGGGTCTCCTTCTCGCATGATTTTGCTTTTTAATGCCTTTGGGAGAGTTTTTATCCCAGTATAACTCACCTGGCACTTTCTGAGCAACCAAATCCAGCACGTATTTGGTCCTGTTCAGTAGTGGGCGGCGGTTTAACACGCGTATAGGCGTCTTTTGTGAGCATTAGACTAGCGGAGTCTCCTTCTCGCATGATTTTGCTTTTTAATGCCTTTGGGATAGTTTTTATCCCGGTATAACTCACCTGACAACACATCCGCAGTACATTCCAGCACGCACTGAGTAAATTAGAAGCTTTTCCCATTAAATTCCAGCCCGTTTTGGTCTTAAAGACACTTGGGATAGTTTTTATCCCCGTATAACTCACCTGGCACCTTCTGAGCGACCATATCTAGCACGTATTTAGTCCTGTTCAGCAGTGGACGGCGGTGTAAGACTCGTATAGGCGTCTTCTGTGAGAGCATCAGACGAGCAGGGTCTCCCTCTGGCGTGTTGCGGAAGGAATTGATCTTGGATATATCTTCGTCGGTGACTGTTATTGGGGTGTCGCCGTTGTGCTGTGGGAAAAGTTATGAATTCATATTCAATTATTTGCAAAATTTTCGGAAAACGTAAAGGTATTATTAACAGTTTTGATGTTTCAGCCAAACGCTGCTGGACAAAGGCCTCCCCCAAAGATTTCCACAGCGACCGGTCCTGCGAACTTTCTGATAGGTATGTACCAATTTTTATAAATTTTGTGAGTTAGAAAATAATAAAATAAAGTAAATAAAAATAAATGTTCCTAAATTTTCAACCAAATCAATACGATTATCTGTCTGATCTAATCGAATTAATTATTTTTAAATTAGATAGGCTAAAATCTATACTTGTAATAAATCTGTAGAGAGGTGAATTCTGTACATGAAATATATTTTCAAAATAACTATCAGGGGGTGATAAGTGATCGATACTAATGCCAAAAATGCAATCAGTAAAATTTTTGTCTTGTCTGTCTGTCTGTCCGTCTGTATGTTCCTTATAGAAACAAAAACTACTCGACGGATTTTAACGAAACTTGGTGCAATTATTCTTCATACTCCTGGGCAGGTTATAGTATATTTAGGAATTCCCACCGACCACAAAAATCTAAACCGCTTAAGTTAGACGCTTCAAATTTGGCATGTAGGTACACCTTAATAAACTTAAAGCTTAGTTACAACAAGGAATTCCCGAAATTTCCACGGGAACGGGAGTAACGGGAAAAACATTTGTATGAAAAAATCTAAACCGCGTAAGATAGATGAAGGGGGTAAAACGGGATCCACGCGTACGAAGTCGCGGGCGGCCGCTAGTCTTATATATATAAAAATGAAACCCGTTTCGCGTTGTCACGGCATCACGTGTGAACGGCTGAACCGATTTCGATAATTCTTTTTTTTAAATGTTTGTGGAAGTCCAAGGATGGTTCTTACGGAAAAAAATATTAAGAAAATCTCTACGCTAAGGCGGTACGAAGTTCGCCGGGTCAGCTAGTTAGTAATAAAACATGACCACATACCTCGTCGCTTCCATTCTTCGAATGTGTGAGCTTGATGCAGATCGCCTCGTAGATCTTGCATTTGTTCTCTTCGCCGGCTTTCAGTTGTGCTAGGTCATCTCTAGGAACAGAAATGATATAAGTTTTTAACATTAAAAACACACTCGAATGGAAAATGTTCTCCTTTTTTTGAAGTCGGTTAAAAAAATTAACAAAATCAAAAAAAAAATTAGTGACGCAAATTGGGTTATGCTGGTTTTCACCGTCAATCCCTAATTTTTAAGTGACCCTTATGGTAACACATACATAAAAGGAATTTATAGGGGTCACTTAAAATTAGGGATTGATGGTGAAAACAGGCATAATTAGGTCGTCCTTTGCTGAACATAAGCCTCCCCAATGACTTCCATACTGCCCGGTTGGTAGCGGCCTGCACCCAGCTCCTTCCTGCTACCTTTATGAGGTCGTCGGTCCACCTTGTGGGTGGACGTCCTACGCTTACGAATACAATAGCGTGGAATACCAAATTATGTTTAATTTCTTACTTGGTAACTAAGACGAGTTGGTGTAGTTTTACGCGACCGCCCGCCGACACGGTTTCACATATTTGTTGTAACTCTTCTGGCGTTAGTTCCCTTCGAGGGTCCAATACCTGTAAGAATATCCATCGTAAAATAACTGCATCACTCCTAAAACTGGATTTAACAGCCTCTGTGGTTTGTGGCTAGTCGTGCCCCGCGTGTCCAAATAACTGCACGAAGGATAATTTAATGAAAGCTACTGACAACGCCACTCTTGTAGCGGAGTTTTGGACTGACACTGTGTAGGTTTTCTCGAGTGGCGACCACGGGCTGGAAGACGTAGCGTGGGCAGGCCTCCTACTAGGCGGACCGACGATCTGGTAAAGGTCGCGGGAAGAACTTGGATGCGGGAAGAGCCTGGATGCGGGCAGCGCAGGACCGTTCATTATGGAAAACCTTGGGGGAGGCCTTTGTCCAGCAGTGGACGTAATTTGGCTGAAACGAACGAACGAACGAACTGTGTAGGTTTGTTGTCGACACGATAAGAAGAAGAAAAGACTGGTTTAGAGGTCCCGGGTTCATGCTCCTGCAGTGGAGACTAATCGATCTGATGATGATGATGTCGATGACAATCGTTTTTCTGTAATGGAGACTAAACGATCTGATGATGAGGGTCGCGGGGAGAGAGGGAGGGAGGGGGAGAGAGGGAGGGAGAGAGGGAGAGAGATGGATAGAGGGTCGTTTAATTAAATGTCCAGTATAATTTTTGTTGTTAAAGTCCGGTCGCCGAGCACGTAGAATTTCGGGTGGCCGCAGCGAGTGTGCGAGCGCGACAGAAATATCGACACACGTGCGATAAGGATGGGTAGCTTGGGGTCATTGGACGAAATTATACGTGCTCGGCGACCGGACTTTACCTAAAGTAGGGTTTCATGCTGCTTTTACACTATGCGGAAATTAGCCGAGTCAAGTCAAAAAAACAGAGGAGTGGGGATGAAATTCATTCATTTTTTATCCCCACTCCACTGTTTTTTTTACTTGACTTGGCTAATTTCCGCGCAGTGTAAACGCAGCATCACAATGCGTTGAAGTTCTTTCTTCTACAGTGAAGATAAGGTCATATAGTTCCAAAATACTGAACTGTCCTATATGACATTGACAGTGGGGCGCCACCGTCAATACCGGATCGCTGGTTCCGATTTTTGCCATGTTGGAAACCATATAGTTGAACGATGGTAGCGCCCCCCTGTCATTGAGTTTGGTGGGACAGTTCAGCGTGGGTCATCTATAAAGTCATTTTTAGAGAGTGAAGACTAAATAAGCGAGCTAATAGTGATGACTGATGATGATTTAAACGTATCGCGTAACGTCCGATTCAAATAAAAAGACAATTTTTTAAAATTTATTTAATAACAGGCCAATCCAACTGTACATCAGTGACATCTAGCGCCAGAATGTCGAACTGCGCTTGTATCGCGTCGCCGAGAGATGGCGTTGTGCGTCTTAGTTCCCCGTGCACAAACTCTTTGACGTATGCGCCGGCGGACGTGCGTATCCTTAGGACTAGGAGTTGTGGGTGACCTGGGAAGAAAAAATCATTTTTTTCGTTAAGATAAGATAATCATTTATTTTCTTTTCTGTGTAAGTACATTGGTTGTTAAAAATAATACATGCATGTCAAAGTATAGATGAACTACACTGAAATGTCCCACCGACGACATTGACAGAAGGGCGCCACCATCTTCGTGCAACTTTATGGGTTTCCACCGTGGCAAAAGTCGGAACTAGCGATCCGCTATTGACGGTGGCCCCCCTGTCAGTGTCAAATAAAGGACAGTTCAGTGTAATTCATCTTTATCAACAGAATTGTCCATTTCGGACGTACAATATTTGGTAGCATAAATTATTACATTAATTGGATTTAATAGTTCGTTCGTTTCAGCCGAATGATGTCCACTGCTGGACAAAGGCCTCCCCAAGGATTTCCACAAAGACCGGCCCTGCGCCGCCCGCATCTAAGCACCTCCCGCGACTTTTTTATTCAAATTCAAATAGTTTATTCTGTACATAGGCCCTTTCCAGGGCACTTATACACGTCCCAAATATAGCTTGCCCTACCACCACTTCAGGACAACATAATATGGGCTGGTGTGGAGAAGAAGTGGCGGCAGAAAGTCAGTCAGTTATTTCAGGCAGAGCCCATATGAGTGTTAGAAACAAATAATCTTAAAAAATCCAGTCAAAGAGCAAAAGATGAATTTCAAACTATGATGTTCCACTTATTTTAATAGCCTACTTCCAATGTAACTTACTATCCCAAATATCTGTGGTCTCTGAGATAGTTTTTATCCCAGTATAACTCACCTGACACCTCAGCAGTGGTCTATTTGGTAACTTACAAGCTATTGTCTTTAAGATATAGTTTTTATCCTTACACACTTGGGATAGTTTTTATCACAGTATAACTCACCTGGCACCACTTTCGCAGTAAATTCCAGCAGGTATTAAGTAACTTATAAGCCAGTTTAATTAAATTCCAACACGTTTTTGGCAGCTATTGTCTTTAAGACACTTAGGATAGTTATTATCCCCGTATAACTCAGTATAATCCAGAAGTGGACGTCATTTGGCTGAAAACGAACGAACGAACTCACCTGGCACCTTCTGAACGGCCAAATCCAGCACGTATTTAGTCCTGTTCAGCAGTGGACGGCGGTGTAACACTCGTATTGGAGTCTTTTGTGAGAGCATTAGACTAGCGGGGTCTCCTTCTCGCATGATTTTGCTTTTTAATGCCTTTGGGATAGTTTTTATCCCGGTATAACTCATCTGGCACCACATTCGAAATAAATTCCAGCACGTATCGAATAACTTACAAGTCATTCGCAATGAATTCTAGCACGTTTTTTGTAGCTATTGTCTTTAAGACACTTGGATAGTTTTTATGTTGGTACTAGCTTTCCGCCCGCGGCTTCGCCCGCGTGGAATTTTGTCTGTCACAGAAAAACTATATCGCGCGCGTCCCTGTTTCAAAAACCGGGATAAAAACTATCCTATGTTCTTTCCCGGGACTCAAACTATCTCTATGCCAAATTTCATGAAAATCGGTTGCGAGGTTTAAGCGGGAAAGCGTAACAGACAGACAGACAGACAGACAGACAGACAGAGTTACTTTCGCATTTATAATATTAGTTGGGATAACTCTTCTGGTACCATATTAGCAATGAATTCCAGCACGTACTTAGTTACGTACACGCTATTGTCTTTAAGACACTTGGGATACTTTTTATCCCTACATACTTGGGATAGTTTTTATCCCAGTATAACTCACCTGGCACCTTCTGAGCGGTTAAATCCAGCATGTATTCAGTCCTGTTCAGCAGTGGGCGGCGGTGTAACACTCGTATAGGCGTCTTTTGTGAGAGCATTAGACTAGCGGGGTCTCCTTCTCGCATGATTTTGGTTTTGAATGCCTTTGGGATAGTTTTTATCCCGGTATAACTCGCCTGGCACCTTCTGAACGGTCAAATCCAGCACGTATTTAGTCCTGTTCAGCAGTGGACGGCGGTGTAACACTCGTATTGGAGTCTTTTGAGATAGCATCAGACGAGCGGGGTCATCCGCTGGCGTGATTTTGCTTCTTAATGCCTTTGGGATAGTTTTTATCCCGATATAACTCACCTGGCACCACTTTCGCAGTACATTCCAGCACGCATTGAGTAGAAGCCATTCCCATTAAATTTCAGCCCGTTGTCTTTAAGACACTTAGGATAGTTTTTATCCCCGTATAACTCACCTGGCACCTTCTGAGCGGTCAAATCCAGTACATATTTAGTCCTGTTCAGCAGTGGACGGCGGTGTAACACTCGTATTGGAGTCTTTTGTGAGAGCATCAGACGAGCAGGGTCTCCCTCTGGCGTGTTGCGGAAGGAATTGATCTTGGATATATCTTCGTCGGTCACTTGTATTGGGGTGTCGCCGTTGTGCTGTTGGAAACGTTATACTCTTATTATTTTTTTTTATTTATGGGTAAACATTTTTTTGACACTAAACCCTGGTTCCACCACCTAATTTTAACTGTAACTGTAACGATTTTGACAGATTTCTGAAGTTTGTTGTTGTTAAAGTAAGATGGTGCAACCCAAATAATAAATCCTAAGTGATAGGATGGTTACATGGCATATCTATACTAGGTATGCTACTCGTAATATTATAAACGCAAAAATGAGTTACCTTTTCATGTTTTTAAACTGATTTTGAGCATTTTTCATTTGAAGATACCTAAATTGGACTTCGTAAAAGCTTTTAGCGTTAAAATAAAACTTGAAGGAGGTGAAATAGGGGATGACTGTTTGAATAATTTCTTGTAAAATACGTAACATCAAATTTTTTTTTGTGATATAATTTTGTTTATAATTCCAAAAAATATTTGGTTATCCTACGGTCTAAAACTAGTAACAAAACATGACCATACCTCGTCGCTTCCATTCTTCGAATGCGTGAGCTTGATGCAGATCGCCTCGTAGATCTTGCATTTGTTCTCCTCGCCGGCTTTCAGTTGTGCTAGGTCATCTCTAGGGACATAGAAATGATGTAAGTATATTATTTTTAATAACAAAAATAAAAATTCACTAAAAATAATTAACTTTTTGAAAAAATAAAACCGACTTCAAATGCGTGAACACAAAAAAAAAACTAAAAATTAAAAATATTGCGTATAAAAAAGTTCATCCCCAATTTTCCACCCTTGGGGGTGAAATATTTTCTTCAAAATCGCATGAAACCACCCTTTTGATAATACCTATTCAACAAAAAAAAATCGTTCAAATTGATTTATAATCGGCGGAGATATTGCGTATAAAAAAGTTAATCCCCAATTTTCCACCCTTGGGGGTTGTTTTTTAGGGTTCCGTAGCCAAAATGGCAAAAACGGAAACCTTATAGTTTCGTCATGTCCGTCTGTCCGTCTGTCCGTCTGTCCGTCTGTCCGTCTGTCACAGCCGATTTACTCGGAAACTATAAGTACTACAGTGATGAAATTTGATGGGAATATGTGTTGTATGAACCGCTACAAAATTATGACACTAAATAGTAAAAAAAAGAATTGGGGGTGGGGCCCCCCATACATGTAACTGAGGGATGAAAATTTTTTTTCGATGTACATACCCGTGTGGGGTATCAATGGAAAGGTCTTTTAAAATGATATAAAGTTTTCTAAAAAACATTTTTCTTAAAGTGAACGGTTTTTGAGATATCAGCTCTCAAAGTCGTAAAAAGTATGTCCCCCCCCCTCTATTTTTATAACTACGGGGTATAAAATTCTAAAAAAAATAGAGGTGATGCATGCTAATTAACTCTTTCAACGATTTTTGGTTTGATCAAAGTATCTCTTATAGTTTTTGAGATAGGTTGATTNTAAATAAGTAGGTAATTAGTAATTATTTTTCTACGTTTTTTTATGTAACTTTTTCCTTTGGAATTTGAGTTTATTCAGACGTATCTTTCAACAAAACTTGTGCTTGAGTTCTGAATAGACTTATATGAAAACTTAATTCAAATACAAAGAAATATTTCATGTGATTCGTGTAAACATTCAACCAATTAATAATTAATTCACCTCAATATGCTGTCTCGTGGGATCGAATCAACAGTTCGAGTTAAACCTGTAAGCTATCAAAGCGGTTCAACTAATATATTTCGAAAGGGCTCTCAATGTAGGTAGGTACATTCAGAAAATAGAAAATATCAACAGTTTTCCTTTTTATGCCGGAAACTTCCTAAGCAACCCTCGTATTTGTTTGGCTTCAGTGTTTTGGTGGCACAGCTGTCAAGTTAAATGTCACGAGGTCACAGCCTGCACCTGACCTACATCGAGCTCTAGGATACATGTTGCTAGGGAGCATGTTGCAGCCGAGCGATTGCCAAAGTAATACAATTAGCTCGAGCAACATTTATATGGACACCTGGACTCTCCACTCGAGTGCCGTTATCGATTAAAGTGGTATCGAGTGAGGCCAATTAATTGTGAAACGTATGCATGTAGTTGAATATATTCTCTGAGTGTTGGTGGCCAAAGTAGTTTAAGATAATACGATTCAGAAGTTTCAGAACCTGAGAAAACTAAAACAGGTCCCATATTTTACAATATGTTTGAAACAAATAATTTATTTTTCTACCTTTCTATCATATTGATGCCGAGAGAAATGAATTTACACTTTGGAATATTATTTTGTGCAGGAGTATTTCCAAGCCAATATCTCATAGACCGGGACAAAGTTTGATGTTTTTCTTTTTTCGCTTACACTACGGATTCAAGGAGAGTGAACAGATTCGAAAAGATGTGTTTCGATCTTTTTGGAATCAACACAAACAAACAGGGCCCTTTGTGATGGACCAAAGTCTGCACGCGCGGACCAGTGGAAAAAGAAAAGTGAAAAAGAACGTTCTGAAACTTCAGTAGGTACAGAATAGACATACAAGTTCCGATCGGCGAAATTGCGCAGTGCATTTGCAGATAAATCTAGGATTTTTTATACTATATCTAGCTGCTTCAGTTATATTGCTGATTCGGCAGTATATTAGCAGATAAATAGGACTTATTTTATATCTTATTTAATTATTTCACATTAATCTAATTGCTAATTATTAAATGAGTTGAGTTTATTAAAAATCATACTTCTGTAACATATTATAATACCTGTTAATGAGATAATTAACATGTAATTAAAGTATTTAAAGATCAGCGAAAGTATGTCTGTTCATCTGTTGCTGCAAAAACTGTTAGTAAAATTTAAAAGTTCGGAAGAAAAGTCGAAGCGACGTAGCGCCAGAGTTTGCTTGACAATTATTTCTGCACAACTTTCATAATATCAGATCAGTTTGCTTGAGAAATGCTTTTTGAAAACTTTCATACATCTGTTTGTGCGAACAAATCAAGGCAATAAAGTTCGTTCGTTCGTTTCAGCCGAATGAGGTCCACTGCTGGACAAAGGCGTCCTCCAGCCAAGGTTTTCCACAATGAACGATCCTGCGCTGCCCGCATCCAGGCTCTTTCCGCGACCTTCACCAGATCGTCGGTCCACCTAGTAGGAGGCCTGCCCACGTTACGTCTTCCAGCCCAATAAGGCAATAAAGTATCAAGATGTATTACTATGTTTATTCTCATAGACAACGGTAGTTAGTGTATAGCGTTAACACGCCGCGACGTGCGCCTACGCGTAATGAGTGGGGAGTGCCCCTATCGTGGAAATGACGTCACTAATCATCTTCCCCGCGGTGACGTCACACTGCAAAATGCAACCAAAGACTGAAGTGCATTTAATAAGACATTTTTTGTTAATTGATGTGTTATGTGTTTGTATAATCCTTTAGGTAAATTGGAAAAGTGTTTTATGAGAAAAAATTATCTCAAGCGGACATTAAACTTGACTTGTGTACTCGTATGTAGTGATGATGACGTTACATGATCTCTATATGTTAAAAATAAAGTTTAAACAAAAGTTTTCTCCTGTTTTCTTTTAAGTAAACATTTTTAAAGGTTAATTTATATTTTTTTAGGTCAGATTGAGTAGTTTCTTAATTTTACATTTTACGTTCAGTGGCTTCTGAAGTAAAAAGAAGGGGGATAGTGATATTATCTTTTCCATTTTTCCCTAAAGCGTTAGCTGGACGCGATTCACGATTCCATTTCTTGCTTGGAGATAAAATATATGTATATTCTTATGCAACTAAGATAGACTTATGGACCTGGAATTATGCAAATAAAGAAATTTGATTTGATTAGAATACGGGACTATGAGCTTAGAACAAATTAAGGGATAACCCATTTAATTAATGAAAAAAAAAAAGTTTATTTTGTGTAGAATAAATATTTTTCTATTCTTGAATCTTCTAAAGTGCTAAGAAGGTTTAAAAAGATATATGCATTTCCAATGATATGATTTTGGTCTCAGCTTTGCCGCGGAAAAATAAAGCTTTTAAAACAACTACTTAATAAAGTTTATACATGGAATCTTGGTAATTGTCTCGTGATTAAGGGTTTCTTTGAAAGACCAGGAGAAGCCGTGGTTGGAAGCTAATAAACTATGTCAGGAACGAAGCTCAAACTTGTGTAACAAGAACGCACGCACAGGGTGACACACGAACCACTCACAGAGCTCTATTCAACGCTGTGCGTTCGATTTGGCAAATACGGGCGCAACTCACGATTAATGAAGTTAACTAAAAATAAAAATTCAGACTGGTATTCGTTTCATCTAAACACTACAAGCCACTTCATAAATAGAGAGACTTCATAAACTCCAACACCCACTGAAGAAAATAGGAATAATCATAAAGATAACAAGGAATTTCCAATGTGGAAAACCCAATCGCGAGCGGCCACCCTGTTATCGATATTCTATTGTCTGCGTACAGGAATTTTCAAGTATAATCCAATTCGAAATACAACTGTAAACGGGAACAGCGGGGCTTGGTGGACAAAGCAGTAACCACTCGAAAGGATACCGTAGAATCAAAGCAAAGTCACATTTTTCCAAGAAATCTGCATTATTAAACGTATTCGATGCAAATGCGAGTAGAAGCTGAATTATGTTCTAAGAAATGTTTCCGTCGAATTGATCAATTCACATTATAATATTGTAGCCACCGTAGGCCGCTTTTAATTACAAAATGACCCGAAATTTCGTACTCGTGAGAGCAAGTGATTAAAACTCAGAAGAATAATAAAAAACCGGCCAAGTGCGAGTCGGACTCGCGCACCGAGAGTTCTGTACAAACATAACTTTGATTTTGTTACAGCTTAAAGGTACTATAGACCTGAGTATTTGAATTTCAATTTAATACTTCTACGTGTTCATGAGGAAAGGAGTAGTACACAACTACTGTGTAAGGTTTTTCCTTGAACTGCGGTAACTACATAATCGATAAAAAAATATGTGTGATATTGTCTGTTCGTTCGATTCAGCATTGACATCCACTTCTGGACAACCCCCAAACTTTGTTATTCTATTAATAGTTCTTCTAGTGAAAATACATAGAAATAGACAAGTTTCGTATCACAAAGTTGTAAAGTTGATCCTTAAAAGATAACACGTGCAGAGGATAGAAAGCTGCCATGAATATACAACAATGGACAGAGTTGCACGTGAAGGAAGGTTAAGGTTAAGGACTGAAGGATAAGCTCAAATAAATCGTGGAAGATCCGAATAGATAAAATTGTAATTTTGTCTGTTAGTGTGATGCAAATAAGCTTTATGAATGTCGTTTTCATGAATGTTATTACATTTAGCAACGCTGTAAATTAAAGTAAGTGTAACATAGTTTAGGACTTTTTACATCGGGCCTTCTAAATATCAACGTTGTTAAGCAAGCAGACTGCCTGTGACCACGGTTGCAGCACAGCAGCCGAAACGTCAAGCCCTGAGTACATATAAACTCATATAAAAAATGTCGCGTTGAGACCCGTGTTTCTATTTTAGTTGAAATAGAATGCGAAAGTTTAAAATCTTCTAACAACGTTGTTGGTTGTTGTTGGGACATTTTGATTCTAAGATCTAGATTGCATGTCGTCCATTTGCGAATATGGTGACACGGTGACGTATCGAACTATAGTACATATATTCGACCGCAAATGTAAGGTCCACTGAAATAATCTACCTCGTATCAAGTCTGTAATGGTCATTAACATGACTGAAGTGTATAAGCGCACTCGTAAATTAGTCCTCTATCAGTGTTTTTCAACCTGTGGGTCGCACGCCCTGGGGGGTCGCGAGGCCTCTACATACACGGGGGTCGCGAGAGGTCGTAAAAACTAAGTACCTCAGTAAAAAATCAGTAAAGTTTTAAAGATAGATTTATTAGAAATTTAATTATGAAAATACGTAAATGTTGTATGGATTCAAGTATTCGGTCCCTACAACATCTTTGTAACATTATAAAATGCATGAAAAAGAGCGAGCGATCATAGGGTTGCGAAATATTTTTTCATGCTAGGGGGGTCGTGTCATGAAAAAGGTTGAAAAACACTGCTCTATCAGAAGCAACAGGTAAGTGCAAAGCATGTACGACATCCTTATGGCTCGGCCGAGAACCCTCGAGACCGCACTTCCAGCGTCCGAAACCACACGGATATTATGAAGTACTTATGTACATAAGAGTATGTCGTACGCACTACCTGTTGCTTGCATCTTGTTGTGGTATTAAAGGAAATAAAATACAGGGTATAAAAAAGGTATTTTTGTGCGGATTTCTGTAAGCTGCTAAGGGTGGATTCGACCAAACAAGAGTAAATATTAATCTCAGAATAAATCGTCAGTTATTCGACATTTTGACGTTTCCCATACTGAAACTGTCAATGTGTCAGTTATTCCAGGAGCTATTCTCGGATAAAAGTTTTGTCGAATCGGGCCTAAGAAGTATTAAAGACATTATTATAAAAATATACTGTCAAACTTCAAAATTAAGCACAGGGTATTTACAAAAAAAACAAGGCAAGACCAAGGTTTTGGAGTTCGAGGTCGAACTAAAATTTTTAATAAGTGAATTTTGCAACTGAGATCATGCCTAAGTCTGATAATAATTATGCTGTATAATTTCAAGGAAATAATAATGATATCGCTCGCGATTCACCACCTTTATTGAATTAACGAAATGTATGCAGGGGCTTTGGAATTTTCGAACGAAATGATAATCAAATTGTGCTTTAACAATACCAGGGATTTTTCAGAATTTAAAACTGGGTTATATCATAAATGTCCAGTAAAATTATATGCTCAATTTATTTTATGTAATTAATTTTTATATTATTATGATAAAATGTACCTACGATAATTTATATTTGATAGGTAGATAATTATTGATTGCAGGAAACATGTTGAACAGTAATGACGAATATAATATAATTTGTAGCAACATTGAAAATATTTTCGTATTGGCATAAAATTAGCTTACATAAAGATATTATATCAATCAATCTAGAAATGTACCAGTCTAGGCTATAGAATCGGGTTGCCAAAGAGCACTAATGCCCGTTTTCACCATCAATCTATAATTTTTAAGTGACCACTTTGCTAACAAATAACAGGAATTTTGTCAAGGGATTGATGGTGAAAACGGGCATAAAACAATAAATTCAATAAACAAGTCCTGCATATCTTATGAATTTTCATTGGCCGGTGTACTTCAGCATGAACATCAAAATAAAAAGACTGTCAAAGTCAGTCTAAATTTCTTTAAATGCACAGACTATTTAATATAATAACTACGTACAAATCGTTTAAACCAATTACTCGGTTTTAAAAAGTCTCTCAGTGCACGAGTAATGGTTGCCTACCGAATAGCTTTTACAAGAATTTTACCTTCAAATAAAATTATTGAACATCATGTTAACTCTTAAATTAACACGCAGTGGAAACTTAAATCAAACTGAGTAAAATATGAATTTTCACTGTAGCTAAAAGTTCATCTTCAACCGCGCGGCTATATCGACGGTAAAGTGGGGAATGGAAATAAGTCGTAACTAGCAATTTTCTAGCAAACGAATTTGTATTTTGTTCTATTCATGACAGAATTCAAAATTGTTGAGACGTATTTGCTAGATAGGTGAAATTGGTACTTCATTGCTGTATCAATGATAAAAATTGCGCCGATTACATCGCGTTCTAGGAAATTCTATGACGCTTGGTACAATTCAATATGGCGTGATTTCTATAGAATCTCTATTACGGCAATATTACTCTTCAGCGCCATTGGCAATTCCAGCTAGGGTCAATTGAATGTTATAAATATAAAGCATGCAATAACGTTATTTCTATCAAAATTGGTAAATATTTTAGTATGCAGTAGCATGAGGGGCGGTGGTAATTTTATAGTTATGTAAGTATCAATGCCCTCACTATGCATCGGATTAAGTCTGCCGTATATCAAATGCTGAGGAGTATGCAACTGTCATTCTTTAATTGAAAGCATATCCAAAGACATCAAACTAGCGATCTTAAATCTTTTGTTACTTCTAAACTTTTTTCATTGACCTTTGAATCTAAAATTAAACCCAATATTAACCCTTTGCGTAACAATATCCTGGAAAGCGTAGGAGCTCAGGCAAGGCTGTGTTACAAGACTATTCCCACCTCTCTTTCACCGCTGCAACTCCTGTGTAGCCAGGATCTACAGCTTGACCGCCAATAAAACCCAACCAGTGAAGGTCAAGTTTGTCCCGGGGGAAAGTTAAACTGTCAGCAACGAAAATAATCACAAGATCAAGACTGTGTTAGTGGAAGGCGTGTACACAGGGCTCCCTGCCCTTTGTGAGGACTAAAGCCCTTTGGAGAGCTAAGCGTCCTCCTGACCTTGTATTGTAGCCCGGGGTTGCAACTATGCATCTGTAGCTCATGGCGATAGAAACCGGAAATTCATCAACATCATCATTTCAGCCACAGGACGTCCACTGCTGAACATAGGCCTCCCCCAATGACTTCCACATCGCACAGTTGGTAGCGGCCTGCATCCAGCGCCTTCCTGCTACCTTTATCAGGGTCGTCGGTCCACCTTGTGGGTGGACGTCCCACGCTGCGTTTTCCAGTACGTGGCCTCCATTCCAGAACCTTGCTGCCCAACCGGCAATTATTTCAAACAAATTCAAGACGTATTGCGATTGTTACACAAACAAGCGAGCACGTGCGGTGTACGCGCATCCTATAAGAGCGCTTACACATTAAGGCGTTAGTAGCGCGACAGCAGCGCGGGCAGCGGCGTGTTTGTAATGTAAAGGGAGGCATCAGCTGTCACATAGTATGACATTTTCAGCAGCGATTCTGTCGCGCGTTTGTCGCGCTGCTAAATCGCCTAAATTTGAAAGTGCTCTTAGTAGGTTTGCTGCAGTACTAGAAACGATCAGCATACACAACCATTTTTCAGCAGTTAAACTTATCAATTCGAATCATTTCATTGGAGACTTTATGTGTGCTACATAGAGGTGGGCGCCGATATATAAATGGCCGGCGGCGGCGCGCCGACTNTTAACTCTTTGAACGATTTTTGGTTTGATCAAAGTATCTCTTATAGTTTTTGAGATAGGTTGATTAAATTGACATAATAAGTTTATTATATTTGCTGCTACGGAACCCTTTGTGCGCGAGCCCGACTCGCACTTGGCCGGTTTTTCTATTATTAAATTTAAATGGGACCACCCTTGAGGTATTACCTATACGCCGAAAAAAGATTTGTTCAAATCGGTTCATAATTGACGGAGTTATCGCGTAACAAACATAGAAAAAAAAAAAACATACGGGTCGAATTGAGAACCTCCTCCTTTTTTGAAGTCGGTTGAAAATAAGTGACGCAAATTGGGTTATGCCCGTTTTCATCAATTTTTTAAGTGACCCCTATGGTAACACATAATATGCATTTTGCTTTCATAGGGGTCACTTAAAATTAGGGATTGATGGTGAAAACAGGCATAATTAGGTCGTCCTTTACTGAACATAAGCCTCCTCCAATGAGTTCCATAATACCGGTTGGTAGCGGCTTGCACCCAGCTCCTTCCTGCTACCTTTACGAGGTCGTCGGTTCACCTTGTGGGTGGACGTCCTACGCTTACGAATACAATAGTGTGAAATACCCAATTATTTTTAACTAGCTTTCCGCCCGCGGCTTCGCCCGCGTGAAATTTTGTCTGTCACAGAAATATTTTATCACGCGCGTCCCTGTTTCAGTAACCGGGATAAAAACTATCCTATGTCCTTTCCCGGGACTCAAACTATCTTTATGCCAAATTTAATCAAAATTGGTTCAGTGGTTTAGGCGTAAAAGAGAGACAGACATACAGACAGAGTTACTTTCGCATTTATAATATTAGTATAGATTTCTTACTTGGTAACTAAGACGAGTTGGTGTAATTTTACGCGTCCGCCCGCCGACACGATTTCGCAAATTTGTTGTAACTCTTCTGGCGTTAGATCTCTTCGGGGATCCAATACCTGCAAGAATATCCATCGTAAAATAACTGCATCACCCCTAAAACTGGATTTAACAGCCTCTGCGGTTTAAAGCAGGGATGTTAAGGATGTCCGTAACCGTAACTGAAACTTTCGGATATCCGAATTAAAAAAATATCCGTCACCGTATCCATAACCGAAACTACATATCCTTAACATCCCTAGTTTAAAGGCTATAGTCGTGCCCCGCGTGCCCAAACAACTGCACGAAGGAAGATTGAATGCTATTGACAACGCCACTCTTGTAGCGGAGTTTTGGACTGACACTGTGTAGGTTTTCTCGAGTGGCGACCACGGGCTGGAAGACGTAGCGTGGGCAGGCCGCCTACTAGGTGGACCGACGATCTGGTGAAGGTCGCGGGAAGAGCCTGGATGCGGGCAGCGCAGGACCGTTCATTGTGGAAAACCTTGGGGAAGGCATTTGTCTAGCAGTGGACGTCATTTGGCTGAAACGAACGAACGAACGAACTGTGTAAAGAAGAAGAAAAGGCTAGAGTACCAGCCTCAGATCTAGAGGTCCCGGGTTCGATTCCTAGCGGGATCCCACCTTAAGAGGTCATGCTCCTGCAGTGGAGACTAAACGAGCTGATGATGAGGGTCGCGGGTCTCTACCTTAGGGAGGGAGCGATGGATAGAGGGAGGGTAAGAGAGAGGGAGAGAGATGGACAGAGGGAGGGTAAGAGAGAGGGAGAGAGAGGGACAGAGGGAGGGTGAGGGAGAGGGAGAGAGGGGGACAGAGGGAGGGGGAGAGGGAGGGGGAGAGAGGGGGAGAGGGAGGGGGAGGGGGAGGGGGAGGGGGGGAAGAGAGGAAGAGTGAGGGAGATTGAGAGAGGAAGAGAGAGAGGGATTGAGAGCGTGAGAGGGAGGGAGGAGGGGGAGGGGTAGGCAGAGGGAGATAGCGAGGGAGGGAGAGAGAGGGAGAGGGGGAGGGAGATAGTGCGAGCGAGATAGGGAGGGAGGAGGGAGGGAGAGGAAGAGAGGCGTAGAAAGAGGGGGAGAGAGGGGCAGGGGGAGGGTGGGAGATAGAGAACGATGGACAGGGAGGGAGGGAGAGAGATACGAAGAGAGAGAAGGAGAGAGGGGGGAGAGAGTCCTGCAATGAAGACTGAACAACTACATGATGACGGTAGTCACCTCGACAGCGAAAGGTCTCCCTGCGCCGAGGCACCCGACGTCGACGTCCTCGCGGCCCGCCGATATGAACTTAGAGAGGGAGGGAAGGAGAGGAGGAGGGACAGAAAGAGAGTGGGAGAGGGCGGGTGGGAGAGAGAGTTGAAGAGAGAGAGGAGGAGAGTGAGAGAGGGAGGGAGTAGGAGAGAGAGGGAGAGTCCTGCAGTGGAGACTAAACGACCTGATGCTGATATATCACTGTTAACTGATAGTCACCTCGACAGCGAAGGGCCTTCCTTGCCCGAGGCACCTGACGTCGACATCCTCGCGGCCCGCCGAGAGATAGAGAGAGAGAGAGAGGGAGGGTGAGAGGGTGAGAGAGAGGGAGGGTGAGAGGGTTAGGGAGAAGGAGGGTGAGAGGGAGAGAGAGAGGGAGGGTGAGAGGGAGAGAGAGAGGGAGGGTGAGAGGGATAGAGAGAGGGAGGGTGAGAGGGTTAGAGAGAGGGAGGCTGAGAGGGAGAGAGAGAGGGAGGGTGAGAGGGAGAGAGAGAGGGAGGGTGAGAGGGTTAGAGAGAGGGAGGCTGAGAGGGAGAGAGAGAGGGAGGGTGAGAGGGAGAGAGAGAGGGAGGGTGAGAGGGTTAGAGAGAGGGAGGCTGAGAGGGAGAGAGAGAGGGAGGGTGAGAGGGAGAGAGAGAGGGAGGGTGAGAGGGTTAGAGAGAGGGAGGCTGAGAGGGAGAGAGAGAGGGAGGGTGAGAGGGAGAGAGAGAGGGAGGGTGAGAGGGTTAGAGAGAGGGAGGCTGAGAGGGAGAGAGAGAGGGAGGGTGAGAGGGAGAGAGAGAGGGAGGGTGAGAGGGTTAGAGAGAGGGAGGCTGAGAGGGAGAGAGAGAGGGAGGGTGAGAGGGAGAGAGAGAGGGAGGGTGAGAGGGTTAGAGAGAGGGAGGCTGAGAGGGAGAGAGAGAGGGAGGGTGAGAGGGAGAGAGAGAGGGAGGGTGAGAGGGTTAGAGAGAGGGAGGCTGAGAGGGAGAGAGAGAGGGAGGGTGAGAGGGAGAGAGAGAGGGAGGGTGAGAGGGTTAGAGAGAGGGAGGCTGAGAGGGAGAGAGAGAGGGAGGGTGAGAGGGAGAGAGAGAGGAAGGGTGAGAGGGATAGAGAGAGGGAGGGTGAGAGGGTTAGAGAGAGGGAGGCTGAGAGGGAGAGAGAGAGGGAGGGTGAGAGGGAGAGAGAGAGGAAGGGTGAGAGGGATAGAGAGAGGGAGGGTGAGAGGGAGAGAGGGAGAGTTCTGCAGTGGAGACTAAATGACCTGATGATAGTCACCTCGACAGCGAAGGGCCTTCCTTGTCCGAGGCACCTGACGTCGACGTCCTCGCGGCCCGCCGAGATGAACTTCAGCCGGTGCTCCGCCTCCGCCGCCGACATGCTGCGACAACAAGCGACACGCTATAACATACCAGCATTACCAGCAAGCCCCGGCTTCGCAAGGGTGCAATGTAGATGGCGCAAGTACACTTTGCGGAATATTGACAAGTTTCCAATTTTTTTATTTTAATATATCTTGAAAATATAAGTAAAACTAATAATAATTGTGAAAGACTCATGAAAATATCTCTACAGATACAAAAGTTACAGGGCTCTAAAGTTGCGGTTGCGCATAACAAATATTAGCGCCATTTTGATCGGTGTAGTCACGACAGTAATTTGAATAATTAATTTCTCAGCAATTTCTTGATGGATTTCAAAAATAACTTCACCGGCTTTTTTTTTGGTCTATATTTTAATCACATTCAGTGAAATCTAATGTTTTCAACATCACGAAACTTCTCCGTTGTCAAGTGGCGAAAATCGGAACTAATGATGGATACGAGGGGGAATGGCTGTTAATCAGTATGTATATGAAAGTGCGCACAGTGATATCGGCCGACCCTTCGTACAAATTAGAATCGGGCCCAACTATCGGCCGACTAATGTAGTTACGGGGAGTATTAGCACAGAATAATAATAAGTACTACGTACAGAAGTTTTACTTCGCGAAGGTATTTAAAAAAATGTATGCTCAATGTCATTAACAATATGGTTTTTTATTTTTTTTATTTGTGGCAATTAAACCTCTCTGGGAGGTTTATTTCTGCCAATGTCGAGTGAAAAAATTGACATAGTTATCAATAGAACGTGGGTGTTTCAGTTCTATTGATTTTTCATGGATTCCGTGGGGTTAAGTATGCCCGTAAGCAGGTTTCGAGACGCCACCGGGTCCAAAGCGGGTTGTTCATACGACAACCCACTCGACACTCGATGCGCGCTCAAATTCGAAGTATTTCAATGTTTTTTATAATTTATCACTTCACTGCACTTTAGAACACAAAATAACACCAAATTTGTACACTAAAGTCCATTAAATAATAAATTGAAACCATTAAAACAGATCGACCATGCTTACCGTTCAACTACCCTCCACGGAATCATTAACAATATGGTGTAATTTAGCCTGTCTCAAGAGTCGAGCACCATTTTGTTGACAAACGTCAGTGATCGGCACTGCGCTGAAGCTATAGGGCTGACTTCGGTAAAATGATGTGACGTGAGGTGCCAAACTGCGGAAAATGACGGAGGAAATACATGATTTAGCATGAATTATCATGAATAGTATTAACTACTTATTTACCTCTCAGTGTCTTGAGGCAACTTAAAAAAGTACATTCTGTGTTTTTGTTATTATTTAGGCAGTTAAATACTGCACAGTATTTAGTACACCATTTTCTTTATTTTCTTCCATCATACACAAGAATATGCGTGCGTGAGTCAATGTTCGCTCGTATGTGAGGCCTTGTCGAATAGTATCCTGTAGGTGGGTCATCGTGCGTGTTTTGTTTTCGATGTAAACTCGCGGAGATGAACAGGCCTGGTATTAGTTTGACTAGCCCCCCCTGAAAAGGACCTCTAGAATTCTAGATACGCCAATAACAGTAAACTCACCCACACAACTTGGCCAGCGGTTCAAATATGATCTCCTGCACGGAAGACTCCATCATTCTTTCTCCCTGCACCAGCCATGGCGTTTGGGGCAGCTCGCGCGACAGCTTTATGTACCTTAGGGGGATAGATATAAAGGTAAATTTGGATGATCTGCCTTTTTCTCTCTACTAAGGTTGGCTCCAACATTGGTCCCAATCCCAACTCCACTCGTCCAACGTGTGGATCTAGACAACAGTATTGGAACCAAAGTTGGGATAAGTTATTTTATAGATCCACTGTTGGGGCCAACGCGTGAAGCTGGCATAAACCAAACTTATTACAAAGGTGATATTAGCTGTGACAAAAGTACCAGGGAAGCATGAATACTGAGGAGTTTTTGGTCTTGGCAAGCACCAATAGAAACAAAATAGTGCTATCTCTGTCTTTCCCTTGACACTTGCTAGTACAGAAAGGGACAAAAGACACTGAAGATAATATGATTTCTCAACGTACCCACCCAATCCAAATGTACCAGGACTGAAGAGTTCTTACCTGCCTGCACAAAATAAAAAATGCTTTCTCTGTCTACTCTTATGTACAGAAAGAGACAAAAGACACTGGCGACATGATGTATTCCTGGACGTGGATAATCTAAAATTACCAGGGACTCATGACGACTGAAGAACTTAATCTTACTTACTGACAACATGATGCATGCTTGAACATTCGCAATCTAAAAGTACCAGGGACCCATAAGTTCCAAAGAGCTCTCACCTGCCTCCCAAATACATAGACGCCTTCGTGCAAGTAATAACACAGGTCGCCCCAGTTTTGGCGCCCTCTTTAAACCCTGCTCTTTAGTACAGAAAGAGACAAAAGACACTGGCAACATGACGTATATAATCCAAAAGTACCAAGGACTTATGACGACCGGAGGCCTCTTTCTCTTTCTCACTTGACGATCGCAAGCAAAAAGTACCAGGGACCCATAAGTCTCAAAGAGCTCTCACCTGCCTCCCAAATACATGGGCGCCTTCGTGCAAGTGACACTGACACAGTTCGCCCTGGTTTTGGCGCCCTTGACGGCGCCCCAGCCTAGTATAGTTCCAAAATACTGGACTGTCCTGTCGATGACATTGACAGTGGGGCGCCACCGTCAATACCGGATCGCTGGTTCAGATTTTTGCCATGTTGGAAACCATATAGTTGAACGATGGTAGCGCCCCCCTGTCATTGAGTTTGGCGGGACAGTTCAGCGTGGGTCATCTATAGCGCCAGCGGGGCGAGAGTGGCGCCCTCTAACAACTGAACTCTAATGAGAGTCCAAACTTATTCCAGAGCTATATTTCCAAAGCCAGGATAAGTAACCAGGGAAGCATGAATACTGAGGAGTTTTTCGACTTGGCAAGCTTCGATAGAGACAAAATAATGCTACCTCTGTCTTTTCTTGGGAATTTTAAGCACAGAAAGAGACAAAAGACACTGCAGATATGATGCATTCCTGGACGTGGATAACCTAAAGTTTGGACGTTCGCAAGCAACAAGTACCAGGGACCTATAAATTCCAAAGAGCTCTCACCTGCCTCCCAAATACATGGGCGTCTTCGTACAAGTGACACTGACGTAGGTCGCCCTGGTTTTGGCGCCCTTAACGGCGCCCCAGCCAAGCGGCGCCAACGCAGCTAGAGTGGCACCCTCTAACGAACTCTACTCTTAGTAGGTATAGAAAGAGACAAAAGACACTGCCGATATGAAGCATTCCTGGACGTGGATAATCTAAAAGTACCAGGGACTCATGACGACTAAAGAGCTTAATCTTACTTACTGACAACATGATGCATGCTTGAACATTCGCAATCTAAGGCCCAGAACAAACGGTGAAACGCAACTGCAACGAAACTGCAACTGCTAGTTACTTTTGAGTTGCATCTAAGTTTCTGCCATAGCGTCCGTTGAGAGAACACACTTGACACGACCAGTTTGAAACTTTCAGTTTCATTCATCAGAATCATCAGAAAGTTGCAGTTTCGTTGCAGTTGCGTTTCACAGTCTGTTCTGGGCCTAAAAGTACTAGGGACCTATAAGTCTTAAAGAGCTCTCACCTGCCTCCCAAATACATGGGCGCCTTCGTGCAAGTAACACTAACACAGGTCGCCCTGGTTTTGGCGCCCTTGACGGCGCCCCAGCCTAGTAGCGCCAGCGGGGCGAGAGTGGCGCCCTCTAACAACTGAACTCTAATGAGAGTCCAAACTTATTCCAGAGCAATATTTCCAAAGCCAGAATAAGTAACCAGGGAAGCATGAATACTGAGGAGTTTTTCGGCTTGGCAAGCTCTGATAGAAACAAAATAATGCTACCTCTGTCTTTTCTTGGGAATTTTTAGCACAGAAAGAGACAAAAGACACTGGCAACATGATGTATTCCTGGAAGTGTATAATCTAAAAGTACCAGGGACTCATGACGACTGAAGAGACATCTTTCTCACTAGCCATAAAGAATTTGAATTTGAATTTGCCTCACACACACTGACAACACGAAGTATACATGGATGCAAGCAAAAAGTACCAGGGACCTATAAGTCTCAAAGAGCTCTCACCTGCCTCCCAAATACATGGGCGCCTTCGTACAAGTAACACTGACGCAGGTCGCCCTGGTTTTGGCGCCCTTGACGGCGCCCCAGCCAAGCGGCGCCAACGCAGCTAGAGTGGCGCCCTCTCAAACTCTACTCTTAAGTACAGAAAGAGACAAAAGATACTGGCGATATGATGTATTCCTGGACGTGGATAATCTAAAAGTACCAGGGACTCATGACGACTGAAGAACTTAATCTTACTTACTGACAACATGATGCATGCTTGAACATTCACATTCTAAAAGCACCAGGGACCTATACAAGGTGTCCCAGAATGGGTGAATCAAACTGATAGGGGAGGTAGCTCTACTAATGTACTATCCCTAAAAAATATGAAAAAAAAAACGCATAAGGAAACAAAAGTGAAAATAAATCAGCTTTGCCTAACTATCTGGCTATAATTGCTACGTTTGGAGTTTATTTGTACTTTTTTCTTACTAATATTAATTGTACATGATCGCTTCGTTTATCTGTAAACAAACTTTTGAAAATAATGACTAGATTTAGAGTTTAGAGCACATTATTAAAAAAAAAATTCGAACTCAAATTTTTTTTTCATATTTTTTAGGGATAGTACATTAGTAGACCTACCTCCCCTAGCAGTTTGATTCACCCATTCTGGGACACCCTGTATGTCTTAAAGAGCTCTCTCTCACCTGCCTCCCAAATACATGGGCGCCTTCGTGCAAGTGACACTGACACAGTTCGCCCTGGTTTTGGCGCCCTTGACGGCGCCCCAGCCTAGCGGCGCCAACGCAGCTAGAGTGGCGCCCTCTAAAGCTTGTTCGACGGAGCGCCGCGTGAATTCCACGGTGAAGCGCTTCTTCTGTCTACTTCTGGATTGGAAGAGCTCTGGCGAGAGGGGCTTGAGGATTTCTAGCTCCTGGAATGATTCACATAAATAAACTGTAGTGACTGTAGTTAGACGTATTTAATCACGTAAATATTAAGCTTATATTAGAGATCTCATGGAGTTTTTTTATCCACAACGAGGAAGCTCTTGACCTGTATCTCACCTTTCAGTTTACTAGAAATAGGTCTTATTACTATTTCGTTCGTTCGTCAGCGAAATACGTCCACAACTGGACAAAGGTCTCCCCTAAGTATTTCCGCAACGATTGGATCCCCACTAGGTGGACCGACGATCTGGTCTGGAGGTGCCTGGATGCTGGCGGCGCAGCACTGGTCGTTGTGGAAATCCTCATTATTTAGTTACTAGCTGTGCCCCGCGGTGTTACCCGCGGTAAAACGTAGCCTATGTGTAGCGTATCCAGAGTGTCAGGTGTCATCTAACTCTATCCCAATTTTTAAATCGCTCCAGCCGTTTAATAGATGTGAAGAAGTAACAAAACATCAACACAACACAAACTTTCGCTTTTATAATATTAGTGTGGCCCATGAGAACTGAAGAGCTAAAGTGTTCAGAAGTTCGCAAGAGTTCTTCGCCTTTGGGACTGGATGGCGTTGTCTGAAATTGTTCAAAGATTGTCCTGCATTTATTTATGCAAGACAAGGCAGGTATTTGACTGCAATCGCACCTGGTGTTAAGTAAGATACAGTCTAGGATGGTACATATCTTCCCTGTAAGTGCCTATTCACACTCGCCTTGAAAAGTGCAGGAACATCCACGGGAAGAATGGACCAATGTCCACCCTTATTCTATTCTACTCTGATGGTCAAAATCAAAATCAAATTCAAAATTTTCTTTATTTGTTTAGACTAATTAAATTAGTTCTTGCAAATCGTCAAATGCTCTTAAGGAGCCTATACATGTCTCATTCTTTTTTTGCCCTACCAGCGCTTCGAGACAAACATTTGGCAAGTGCTGAGAAGAAGCGCCGCAACAAACTCAGTCACCGCTGTCTGCCGGTTTAAAAATATAAAAAAGTAGCAAGTTACAATACATTCAGAAGCAAGTTACTTACCACGCGCTCCCTTTTTTTTTTTTTTT